ATAGGTAGTGTGGGACGTTACTCTTCAGTCTGTGAGAGAACGACTGAGAGCAGAGGCCTGCAGAGTCCTCCTTATATACTACTGGGGAGGACGATGAGTAAGCGTATAAGAAGAGAGCATGTGACGTCCAGAGGACGCTGACTGAGCGATGAGTAACGCTGAGTAAGGGAGCATAATCGACATAAGGTCAGATAGTCCATGGCTGAGTAATGCGAGTAATCCGGACGCTGTCTAGAATAGTCCGGAACATCGTAGAACGTACCAGAATCATGTGGAGGGATGGCAGGATGCCAAGTAAGTACAGAACAAAAGAATGTACGTATATGGTAAGTAGGAAAGTCCATGCTGGCGTATGGTAGACGCACAGCCACTATCACTGCCACTCCCGGTCCGGCACAGCCGTAGACACAGAAGTTCAACAGAGTTCACATCTATCATTGGCCTGTGAGGGCAGGCGCGATGGAGTGAATGCTTACCAGAGCACTCGTGGCGGCAGCGCACCTCCACGGCCCGTGAAATAGCCTGTTTGCTGGGCCGTTTCAGGTGTCGCTGCGTGGACGAATGGCAGGTCACTTCGTAAAGCAAGGCCGCCGGCCTGCTCGGCATCTTCAGGGGACTGAAGGCAAGTTGACCACCATGCGAACACCTAGAGGGTCCCGACCTCTCAAGCAACGTTCTTGGACGCCACCCACGACATGCGCTGTCTGCCGCCGCAGTGGCAGCGTGCTTGTCGGGGCGGGAGGCGCGCAGTATCAGGGCTCCTTGAAGCTCTGCATACCGTCAGCTGAGTGCGCGAACACATCATGCTCACCTCCCTCCCCTGTCTCCGCTAGGCACGAACGCAGCCCAGCGCGGTCCATCTGCTTGGAAGGCCGGGCGCAAATACAAATCATGGTGGGGACTATTCACAGTCCGGTGATGATCGGCAGCGTGTGGGGTTGCAGGTCGCGCGCAGGGCCTGCACACACACTCGTCCGGCTTAGGTTAAGTGGCGGCGGAGGCGGGTGCGGGTGCAGACCAACCGGGTCGCGCGCCGTCTGGACTGCTCGAAGTCGAGTCTGGGGAAGTCCATATTCCCGAGTGAGGGAAACTGTCCGCCCGGGCCGCACGGCTGAGCGGCCTCTGGTTCGCGCAAGCGGGCTCCTCGGCATGGCGTTCCAACACGACGGGGAGGTAGCGCACTGCCCCCCTCCCATGCACTGGAGAGGCCGGTGAGTGGAGGGCCATATTTGAGACCGCTGGCGCCCCGATAGAAACGAAGTCGGAGGGGAGATTGCGCTGCAGAGACAATGGGAGGGTGCGGGAGCGCGACGAGCGGGAATGACGGGTGCGGGATGCTAGTGGCTCTGACCAGTGAAGGATCGCCGCACGGGACGCATATGATTGCACGATATTTTGGGGAGCGGGCACCGTCAGTGCACGCCCTGCGTTGGTTACAACTTACCAGACAGCTGGGTGATTGATGGGCGAGCAGGGGGCACTCGGCCAAGAGCCGTTGTTGGCACCAAAAGCATACGACGGTGCCCGAGCTGCGGAGAGCGATCCTTGGGGAGTTGGAGCGCAATGGCAGACGTCCGGCATCTGCAGACGGATGAACGATCGCACACCGGGTCCGTGGGATGCATCTACTGGGGCGAAGCATCATTCCCACCGGGCTTTTCCATTGATTCCTCTGGGACCGCATTTCAAGCCCAGTGTGTGAACGCGACGGGTATGGGCGCGACTCCGCTCATGGTGAGGGAGAGAACAGTAGTGAAGGGGATCGCCCGCTGGCCGCTCCTGGGACCAAAACGCAAAAAATCGCAACTTTTCGTCACTGCACCATGCTTTATACACCTCGTAGGAGCCACAAGACGAGAACTAAGTACTTGACAGAGACCCCTCAACGGATAACGCTTACCGTGACTGAGGCGCCTTGACTGCGGGAACAGCGCAGGGGTGGCCGACGTGCGATTTCTGTGTAGAGTGGCGCGCGTGATGGGCCGGTTTCAGCGTGTTTATTAACCTCGCAGAGGCGACAGAGGATACTCCGCTTGCTCATACGCAACCTCACCTGAATGTGCTGGATTACGTGTGCTTAGTGCTAACGCGTTGCCGTCAAGGGGGCGGTGACACCGCGTTATCACATCAACAGATAGGCCTGCCAGTAAGCAACATAGCATTATTCTGCACGCATTGTCCTCCGTTTGCTTGACGCGATAGCGATGCGTAGGCGGGCGGGCAGCGACGAATGGCCAGAGTGAGCGGGCGAGGCAAGGGAGGAGGAGCATAGCCACGTGGGATCTGAGATCGCAGCGTTCCTAGTTGGGCGCCGAGCTGAGCGACCCGCTTGCGTCTCTCCTCCATCTCCCAGGCTGATGCGCCAGCGCAGGGTGCGATAAGCTGTGTGAACTTTCTTCATTTGTCGCCGACATGCCATGTCCAAATCTTGCCTTCCCAGGGTTGGCCCAGCGGCTTCCCAAGCCTGACCCGGTCCCCCGGAGAATGTCTTCGCGTACACCTCGGATGGTTCCCGCAGTTAAAAGACTTCGGCATTTCTTTGGAGGCACGGCTGCGCCCTGTATTCAGTCCATCCTAATTTGACCCCGGCCTGTCTCCAGTGGCCCGTCCGCTTCCCCCTTTCCACCCGCCCAGCCAACCACGGTCATCCCTCCCGCTCGCGCTCGATCACTGCTTCTCTTGCATCCATCTGTGCTCTGGTCGACAACTACTGCGCTATGCCTAGGATCGAGGCTGTCGAGGATCCGGAGAAAGGCACTCTGGACACGCTCACACCACTGCCCGTGCTGCCAGTGTCATCGAAAGCGGTCATACAAGATGCCGCCGACGGGATCGCCGTACAGTCGGGAGTGAAGGAGAAAAGGTTGGACTTGGCTCTCGCGGAGGCGAGGAAAGACCCATCATCGTCGAGCAAGGGAAAGCGGAGAGTGAGCTGGTGGATTCGATACCAACTGTGGTTCACGATGTATCGGTATGTCGCGTCTTAAGGTACATCATTCATTGACTGAAGTTTGCGATCGTTCGCAACAGTAAATTCTTCACCTTCATCGTCCTCTTGAACGGTACCGGGCTCCTCCTCGCCGCACTCAACGTCTGGCAATATCCCCGACGATACACCGGCGCTTTCATTCTGGGGAACTTGCTCTTCGCGATCCTCATGCGGAATGAAGTCTTCGGGCGCTGTCTATTCTGGTTTATGAATACGTGCTTTGCCAAGGTGGGCGGGCTGCGCAGGTGGTCATTGCATGTACGCGCGCTGACAAGGGCTGATCGCAGTGGCCACCATTATGGTTCAGGCTTACGTGCACCGACATCCTGCAGAGCCTGGGGGGCATTCACTCCGGTTGTGCAGCATCCGGCTCAGCATGGCTCATTTTCCGAGTCGTGCTTATCTTCATCGACCACAAGGACAACCATGACGCTGTGCTCATTGCCGGTGTTGTCACCAACATCGCCGTCTTCATCAGTATAGGGAGCGCGTTCCCCTGGGTCCGTAATATGCACCACAAGTACGTGTTTATCAGTTTCCGCATTGTGCTCACAGATTCTCACGACGCGTGCAGTATTTTCGAGAGGCACCATCGGTTCATCGGCTGGTGAGTACCCGCGTCTCGATCCAGCCATAGACGCCCACGTCGCTCACAGGCCTCGCACGCAGGGTCGGACTTCTCTCAAGTGGGTAGTGCTTTCATAGCGTCAGATCGCCGAGGCGGCGGTTTACTCGCACGCTCCATCATCCCATTGGTTGGGCGTGCACCTGCCCCGTCCTAGGTCAACGCCGTTGTAACGCGATGCTGACGGCCCCCATTGACAGCTTGGATTTTCGTGGTGCTCGGCGACAGCTACGACCTCAACACTCACGCGTGGAACCCGGACGGTGTCCACGTCATTCGACAGCAGGACTTCTGGTATGTCTTTGGCATGACAATACTGTACGTGCATTCTCCTTTGTTCGCAGCGCGACGATCACTGAGTGCACCCGGTGCTACAGCATTCTCATACCGTGGTTCTCCGTGCGGGAGGTCCCGGTCGACATCGAAGTGGTGAGTATATCTCGCCAAAGGGGGTATAGCGCGTTCATGGAGCAAGCTTCCTCCGCAGCCGTCTCCGAAGGTGGCAATCTTGCGTTTCGAGCGAGGCATGCAGCAAGGTCTTCTTACGCGGATATCTCGGTCCTCGATCATGGAGTACCACTCGTTCGGTATCGTCTCGTGAGTTGACAACACCTTACCTTGTGGCATGGCTGACGGGAGCCGTCGACCCATCTGTTAGTGAGGGACCGCACGCCAAGTACCACTACCTCATCTGCGGCGTGCAAGGGGACTTTACCCGTTCTTTGGTCGACGACCCTCCCACTCACCTCTGGACCCGTCAATTGAAGGCATGTGTCCCCACCCACTAACGCCACGATAACTTGCTAACCAATAGTCGCACAGTTCGCTGGCGTGTCGCACTCGTCTTCTATGTACAAGCGGGGAATTCGCGTGTGCACCGGCACTGGACTCGGCGCCGCACTCTCAACATGTCTCCAGGTATGTCCTTGCCTTGCATTGTGGAAAGGTCGCTTCCCTCATGTGCGTCATTCTTGTCAGAATCCTGACTGGTGAGTTTATGTTTCACGTAGACGGCGCGCTCGGCGCGCTACGTCTCGTACCGTCTTCTCGCGCTGTCACAGAGCGCAGCGGGAGATGTTGTCATCGCCGCAACGTTTTACTGATCGCGCCTTCCCACGTCTTATCAGGTACTTGATTTGGATTGGCTCGGAGCAAGAGAAGACGTTCGGGCCCACCATCTCCGGGCTCATTTACCGCCACCTATGGCCGGACCGTGTATGCATGTGGGATTCCAAGGCGCGAGGTGGGTTCGTGCCCCCAATTCGAATGCACACGGAGCTGACTAGCCCCTCCACTACGCGCTCTCTCACGTGCAGGCGGCCGTCCTGACATCATGAAACTCATCAAGGACGCCTACCACTCGTGGAACGCTGAGGTGGTCTTCATCACGTCGAATTGGCAGGGCAACAGGGAGCTAATGGAGGGATGCAAAGAGGCTGGCATTCCCGCATTCGTACGTTCTTTTTTGCATATGCATGCCTGTCCATGCCCGGGACTCACGCTCGCGCCTTGTTCACGTCTACAGGGCACGCTCTGGGACTTCTAAGCGGCCGTCCGGTAGGAAGCGATGGATGGACGTTCAGCATAATATTAGAACTCGTCGTGCGGTCGCCGTGGGCAAGTGTCTTCCCACCTTCTATGTGCACCAGCCCATCGTCGCGCTCGTACTAGTGATCGCCGCATACCGTTCATAGCTACCATCGTCACCCTCCAGCACGTATCTTATTGGTCCTCGCCCCTAGCAGGTCTCGTACCCCACGCAATTTCCCGAGTAGTGTAGATATGCCCGTGCGCGCAGTATTGCAGCTCTCCGTCTGGATCCTCAGCTCCCTGCGGCACCGCGGGGACGCCACGCGCTGTGAACCTGTATTTTAGTCGATCTCTTCTTGGCATTGTATCTCCCCACTGTGTGGATTTGGCGCAAGGAGATTGGGCACAGCTTCGGAGACCGCGACAACGCGATCTCAACGCATACGCCAACTTCACCGAGATAGCGTTTGTCTACACGTCGTGAAACAAAGCTGCATCATGCAAACATATCATATACGCGACATGAGTGCGTGCGACCTTCGTCTCCGCTCATCTCTGGATTTTCAGCGACTCGCAAGGGCTATATACTAGGACGCTGGAATCGCGTCCGTTAAACGGATGGCTTCGAAGCTGGAGCGCTCATCTGCGATTCTATCGTCAATGCGGCTGGTTACCTGGATCATATACCGTGCACCTACTCGTCAGTCAAGCTGGTTATAGAAACGTAAATGGCCGGTCAGGTCGAGATAGACGAGGATAGAGGATGATGCGACGTGCTTGACGTACCAAATAGGCACCAGACAACATGGATTGCCGTACCCCTGCTATGCGTCCGACGCGGTTCCTGTCTGCAAAATAGTCCTTCGGCATGAATGGCGTAGCCCTCAACCCTTCTGCCACGTCCTCGTTCATTCCGTACGTACCGACTTGTCACATCGACGATGAACACAGGTGCTGAAGGCGAGTGGCAGGGGCGTCGGGTGGACAAGAAATCAGAATAATAATAGGCACCGAGAGTCGAGACCCTACTGGCGATCATATTACAAGGGATGAGGGATACATGGTCTGCAAGAACGAGTAAGTCAAGGTATGGATACAGGTCGAGAGCGACTGAAATCACCAAATTATACACTGCTGCATGACGGAAAGCGTTCTTCAATTCAGGTACTGTAGCTTGGACCACTCCTTGTCGTTGGCGTTGAAGTCCACGCCCTTTCGGCGCCACCACTCCCGCGCCTCCTCCCCGCCGCCAATCGCGTCCTCAAGAGCCTCCTCGATATCGCACATCCGATACTGTATCGGCAGCCCGCTTTGATCCCACCATTCGAGCACCTCAGGCCGGTTGTGGCGCGACGCGCCTGTAAGCGCCTCCTGGTCAAATATCATCTGCAACCCGCTCCCCAGCCACCATTGTAGGACCTCGACCTTTCCGTGACAGCTTGCGTGGTAGAGCGCCTGCCGGTCGTATTTGGGCTCGAGCTGCGAGCTTGCCCACCACTCCAGCGCCTCGACGTGCCCGGCCGTGCTCGCCATGTCCATCACCCGTCCGATCTTGAGCGGGATATTGGTCGGTGCCATGCTCTTCGTCTTCCACCAGTCCAGAACGGCGATGCGGTTTTTTGCCGAGGCGCTCTCCAGCGCAGCTTCGGTGTACTCGAATGGGATGCCAGAGGCGAGCCACCAGTCGAGCGAAGATACCTGACCGTTGCGCGAGGCACCATCTATGGCGTCAGCGATGGATGTAGGTGGGGGGAGTGGCAGGACGTCGGGATGATGATCGTGTGCGTTCTTCCACCAGGACAGCACGGCCGTGCGGCCATGGAGGGAGGCTGTAATGGGCAGGAGGTCATGTCTGTACATCGACAGGAAGACGGGGCGGTGATAGGTGAAGAGGTACTCCAGGACGTTTACGTAGCTGAAGCGTACCGCCAGCACCGCGCTGACCTTGGTAGGCCGGTGTGTGGCGGGATCGGCAGCGCGGATAAGGGGGATGTATCCGGTCAGGATGGCGTGGTCGCATGCGTTCGCGCGCGTCCAGGGGATGGGTTGGGGAAGAGATGTGGGCACACCCACCGCTTTTGCGAGCTCCCAGTCACCGACGTGGTCCATTATGTCGGCGAGCACCTCGACGGGGAGATCAGGAGCGAGTGCCTGTCGGCCGCGAGCTCTGGAAGGGTCATGGTGAGCCTTTGAGGTCTCCTGTTCGTCGTGGCCATCCTTGGTGGGGAAGTGGTAGGCGTGGATATCGAATTTGGCGAGTCTGGAGGCGAGCTCCGCGTCTGAGCCTGTAGTGGGGAGTAACCGGACTTTGAGGAAGAGGACAAGCTGTTCGTGCGTGAGGCGGCGGTACGCTTCATGGACTTGTTCTATAGAGCGTTCATAACTCTTCCACACGGTCAGCATCACAACCGGAACAGAAAAGACATGCACGTACTCACAGCCATACGCCGAAGTCTAGCGGAGAGATGAAGGTCGTAAAAGGGCCGGGTGGTAGCACATGCTCGAGCGCGACGTTTCTCAGATGATTGCTCGATGAAGCAGCTATGTAAGTGTGAAAAGCTTATTCCCGCTAAGTCTACTTACAAGCAGTGTAGTTGGTAGTGTAGTGAGGGTAAGTACAGCTTGTTTCTGTTTACTGATCGGTAATAAGCGCCAAGCGCGGAAGGCGCGCCGCCGCCGACGTGGTCCCAAACGTGTCCCTTTTACCTTCCCACCACGACCTCCGACCACAACGTTCTGCATGACAGCATGCCATCCAAGAAGACGAAGATGCGCAAGGCCAGCCTCGCAACATTCTGTATAGTTGCTCTCGCTGCTCTTGCCCGCGCGGACGTGAGTTGCTTCACATGAAGCTGCACGCTAATAACCTTCGGCTAACGTCTCCGTAGGATGCGTCCAGCAAACGCGGTGATATTCTCGAGACAATAGACCCTGCCGTAGAAGGTACCTTGTCCCGAACAACACGTACGACACGTCCTGATTCTGATGTCTTAGCATCTAGGGCGTACAAGCAAGCGGTGTCCACCCTTGCCACCTTGACCGCCCTACCACCAATGCAGTCTGAAGAACCCTCCCACCACTCCTCCGGATACCCGCTCTCGTCCTTCCTGCCAAGCATCCAGGGTCAAGGCCCGATCGCCAGTGCTATGCGAATACTGGTCAAGCTCAAGAACCACTCGTGGCTGCCGTCCGTGGTGACGGACTACCTGGGCAGAGAGCTGTCAAACGGGAGGAGACGAGAAGAGGAAGCGCGGGGGAAGGCGGTGAAGGTCATCGACCTCCTACAACACGCGGCGGAGCTGGGGCACTCGGACGCGATGTATACCCTCGGGCAGATATCCCTTGTGAGTACTGCTATGTTTCTACTCACCTTCTGACTTCTCAAACGCGTTGTATTAGTTCCCGCCAAATACCTACTTTCCCGCTGACCCCACGACCGCGTACGAGTCGTTCGACACGCACGCGCAACTCACCGGAAACGCGTCCTCTCAAGCCATGATCGGGTTCTTCCACAGCACGGGCTACCACAGCGTCGTCCCCGTCGACCAAGCCAAGGCGCAGCTCTACCTTACCTTTGCTGCTCACGGGAACCACAAGGGCGCACAAATGGCGCTAGGTTACCGTTATTGGTCTGGAATAGGCGTCGCAGAGAACTGCATGATTGCGCTCGACTGGTATGAAGACGCCGCGGAGCAAGGTGAGCCAGGTCCTAGAGCGAGACGGAGTTGCCGCTAATGCCGATGTAGCTATGGCGAAATTCCTCTCAGGACCCCCTGGTGGTCGGACATTACCCCTGCTACCACCGCGACTGTCAGACCTGGTCGGTGGTGTATACGGTCCTGGCGCGAGTGTTGCGTCTACTGGACTGAACGCTGGTCGCGCTGTCATCAAGACCGCGAACGCCCGTGCTGCTGGAGAGACCTGGGAGGACCTGTTGGAATACTACCTGGTAGGTCTCTTGGACCCTGTACACTTACATGGCAACTGACACCCACGGTAGTTCAATGCAGACCGCGGAGAGATCGACTTCGCCTACCGTTTAGGCAAGATCTTTTATCAGGGCAGCATTTACGGCGCGCCCGGCGGAGTCGCCTCTGGGGGCGACGGTGCGAGCGCGATCCCCAGGGACTTGCACCGCGCGCGGTACTACTTCCTGCGCATCGCGCGGCAAGTCTGGCCGCGCGACCCCGCGAATCCCCGTCAGCCGCACGTCTCCACGAAGGAAGAGGGCCACGTCTCAGTCGGCTATGCCGCGCCCGCAGCGGGGTACCTCGGGCGGATGTACCTGCGCGGCGAGGGTGTGAAGCAGGACGCGGTGATGGCGAAGATGTGGTTCGAGCGCGGCGCGGAGTACGGCGACAAGGAGAGCCACAACGGGCTGGGCATCATCTGGCGCGACGGCCTGGTCGACAGCAAGAAGGATCTGAAGCGGGCCATGGGCCACTTCGCGGCCGCCGCGACGCAAGAACTCGCGGAGGCGCAGGTCAACATCGGGAAGTACCACTACGGTAGGTCTCACCGGATTCGCTTCAGCCTGGTCGCGTGCTCACCTGTTCACAGAGCGCGGGGACTTGAAGCTCGCGACCGCATACTTCGAGACCGCGCTGCGCCAGGGCTCACCATTTGAGGCGTACTACTACCTCGCCGACATCCAGGCCAGGCAGGCGCGCGCGTCGATGATCCCGCCCGAGATCGCGGGCAGCTCCTGCGCGATCGCGGTGTCGTTCTACAAGCTGGTCGCGGAGCGCGGCACGTGGGAAGACAACCTGCTCAAGGACGCGGACGACACGTGGAACCTGGGCACGGAGCGCGGGAGCGAGATGGCGATGCTGCGGTGGTGGGTCGCCGCAGAGCGAGGATACGAGGTCGCGCAAAATAACCTCGCCTACGTGCTTGACCAAGGTGAGAACGACTCGCCTTTTGTTGCCAGTCGGGTTTTCTGACTGCGGTGCCTGTAGACAAGAGCATTCTCCGGTTCACTCGCTTCGCGCCGTACTCACCTTCGAACGACACCGCCCGCCTGGCTCTGACGCAGTGGATCCGGTCAGCTGCCCAGCGGAACGTCGACGCGCTCGTCAAGGTCGGCGACTACTACTATCATGGCCTTGGCGTGCCAGACGAACCTGAGGACGTGCGGTGGGAGAAGGCCGCTGGATACTACCAGTCCGCGGCGGACACCCAGATGAGCGCGCTCGCGATGTGGAACCTGGGCTGGATGTACGAGAACGGCATCGGGGTACCGCAGGTCAGTCTCCCGCGGTGTGTGCGCTGGGAGTGACGCTAATGATGCAACCGTATGTAGGACTTCCACCTGGCGAAGCGGCACTACGATCTGGCGTACGAGACGAACAGCGAGGCTTACCTCCCTGTCCTCATGTCTCTGATCAAGCTTCACGCACGGAGTCTTTGGCATACACTCATGGGTGGCCAGAACGGTCTGAGCTTCTGGGAAGGCGATGAGGACGATGGTAAGCACGGCGTCAGGCTAGTTCCTACCTGCGCTTACAGTGATATTTTGCAGGCCGGTCATACTATGACGACCCGGATGCCAAAGAGATCGATGGCGCAACAGATCCAAGCGGTGGACAGCCAGCTCTTGACGAGGCCGAGGAGTCGGACGACGGCCCGTGGTATATTGGCAAGGCGCGCGACGAGTTCAACCGGCGCAAGCGTGGCCAGAACCAAGAGCGGGCAGGACGGGAAGAGGAGGACCCAGTGCAGGTATGCAGCCACCCAGAGATCCAGCATGCAGTACAGCTGATGACACCTACGCAGTGGGCACGCGAACGTCGTCAGGCCGAGGCAGATCGGGACGGCGACTTTGGTCCCGAGGACTACTTCGATGCAGCGATGCGCGGGAACCGATACCGCGAAGAGGAGGACGCGGACGAGTTCGCAGAGACGATGCTCCTGGTGGTGCTGTGCCTGCTAGTGTCAGTGCTGCTGTATGTGCGCGGGCGATGGGTCGAGCGGCTGCGGCAGGAGGAGGAGCAGCGGAGACAGGCGAATGGGCAGCCTCCAGTCCAGCAACAGCGAGGTGTGTTCCCGCCGCCGGGCGATGCTGCACAGGAGGACTGGGCGATTCTGCGATGAACTTGCTGTATGGTACGATAGTCAGACGTCTTGATTGGTGAGTAAAACTTACGCTCAACACACTCCAACGCGGCGTGTGCGAAGTCCGAGTACGAGGGCATGAAGAGAAGATACCTCTGCGAGAGCGACGGTGCGTGAAATACCTTAGTTGGCACGTTGTTTGGTGGGGTATATGCTGGGTATATGCTGGTTATATGCGTTGCTAATTAGCAGTATAACACGAAACCGCTCGCCCTAGCAGAACCTGAAGGGAGGGCAAATCACCTTGCACCGCGTGCCGTTTGTCGGCTGGGGCTGGGAGGATGTGGGATGGTGGTGGGGGGAGTCAGGTCGTCTCTCAACCTTTGACCGCCTTATATATGAGCGAGGGACTCTGCACAGAACTCTATATCCAGCCTTCTAACGATCCTAATTTGGTGCCAAAAGCCAGATGACGTCATGGTCTACGAAGGCGGAGGTGCGCTCAAACTCAAAATAAGGTTTACCGGCAGAGCGCTAAGGTTGACCTCATACACGGAGCACCTCATGTTACGCGCCTGTGACTCAGCCAAAAGCGCTGTCACGTTTGGAGAACGGGATCCTATCTCGTCCCGCAGCTCGTCGCAGAACCCTCCAGAGTTTCCCATTTTCTGTTTGTACTCCAATTCCCCACAGAAAATGAGAGCTTTGCAAGGGTGAAGCGCAAATTTGCGGGAGGAGATAGCTTCCCGTTTGACTAAGTTCGATGTCACGCAAACTCACGTGATGAGGTGCTCCGTGTATGAGGCCAACCTTATTCCTTCCCGATCGAGATGTTCCACCTTGCCACCGATCCACTGGACGAACAACTTGGCGGATTTCTACGCCGGAGGACCGACTCAAATCTATTATCTCACCAGAAGCATAAAGCAGTACAACTCCAACGACATCGCGCAGAATGATAGGCCAACCAATTTTTGCAGATTCAGACACGCGGCACACTTCTACTAGCTGGGACCCCAGGTGGCAGATGTCTGCGTTGAGTCGCAAGTTAGGCCAGCTACTGGCCACACCTCCGTACGTAGCTTTGAACGTGTGAAAGTAATATGAGGAAGAAAACCTAGGCTGATCCCCGCTCATCTTCAGTGTATCGATCGAGCTACTTCCTGGAGAAGGTTCCGAATGGCTCGCAGAAGAGGAATCCAACCCACACGCGCCCTTCCTCCTCATGGAAGGAAATCTTGGCGCCCCTAAGAAGCTGGCGTACAAAGCATACTTGGAGAGCATCCCCACATTCCGACGCCGTCGCGAAGCGCTTCACGCGCATCTCACGACCTCGTTCGACTCGCATGGCGCGAGCGATGTGACAGATACATTGCACTCGTCCTCCGTCCTCCTTCTGGTGAACCCGGCGCATCAGAGCGCTCTCAACGCGCGGAAACGGCTGCTCAAACATGGCGCCCTCGATGCTACCCAGGAGCTTCGTTTTGTGTCCGCGCTTCTAACGCTGCACGAGGGCGCGAAGCAGTCGATTCTGTGGCACCACCGGCGCTGGCTCCTGCGACGTATCTACTCCGCCGCGGGTTCATCATACGGTGTAACCGCGGGTAGCTCTAGTGGCATACATCGCAGCCTGGCAGGAGACGACGAAGATTCATTATGCGGCCTCGCCCTCGACGCCGATGCATGGTGTACAGAATTCGCCGCCATCGACAGGGCGTGCGAAGTCTACCCCCGCAACTACCACGCGTGGGCTCATCGGTATCTATGCGCGGAGGCTCTGGCGACGACTCTCCGAGGAGACGCGGGCCCCGGGTTGATGAAGGCCTGGCAGAAGGAGAAGGACCGCATCCGCCAATGGATCGAGAGGCACGTCTCCGACTACTCTGCAATGCAATACGCGTGTCACCTCGAAGACCTCGAGCGTGAGCTGGTCTCAAGTGTCCATCCAATCACAGGGACCTCTACCCGCCATACGCAGGACAGCCCGCCCAAGGAGAAGGAGACTCTGGTCGAGCATGCGTGGGCACTCGTGCAAGCCTACCCGTCACACGAGTCGCTCTGGCTCTACCTCCGCGGCGCACTTCGCCCGACATTCAATTCCGAGGCTGCTCTGCTCCCGGAATCTGCCACGTCCGAGCGTGTACGCAACGGGGCCCGCGCGTTCGCTGAGAGGTTTCTCAGCGATGGGAGCGCAGACCTCGGGGCGAGTGTATTGCCTGCGGAGCGCATCCTGATGAGGCGTCATGCGGCGCGATTTCTGGACTGGTTGCTGTGGCAGGTATGTGGGGACGCTGCAGTGGTGGCTTTCAGTGCGCTCATATCTTGCTATTCAGGAAGGCAAGCTGAAGATGCGTGCGGATGTTGTCTGTAGGATTAACGCCGCTGCCGGTGGGGAGGGAGATGTTCTGTTGAGCTCCTCATACACCACTTCTCGTACTGACTTCATAAACTGAGCTACGTTCTGCGTGTTATGATTCCAGATATGTATTACCGTGGTGCCTTGGCTGTTTCTACCCGTACGGCGCTAGTACGCTCTGAGTCGTTGCAGGTGGTGTATGTTCCCAAATACTTACTATGGCGCTTGGGTGGCGGTAGAAGCATACTAGATACCAAAACCCTTTCTTACGGCCTGAACACCAGCGGCGCCGCCTCCGGCCGCCGAGGCTCATTGTGTTTGATGTGCACAGCCACTGCAAACGGGCGTTTATCTCACCGCCTGGCTGCCGCGGCGCGCCCTTGCCAGAGCCGCATCGAAAATCAGCCAGAAAATTGAAACCGTTTGTATAGTCTTTGTTTGAGGTCATAGGCTAAGAGCCATGTCTCAAATGCTTCAAAGAAGAATTGCGTCCCTTGACCATCATGAGTGTTACGTCACGCCTCGTCACAGTCTAGCGAGACGCGTTTGGGCGCCTGGCGCGTTCTTGAACTTCATCCTAGCCACCGTCGTCTGCGCGAGGCTCGATTTAGCCATCCGCTGTTCCTACCCTTCTCCTTTGTGCGACGTTTGGGGACAATTGTATCAGCGCTCTTGCCTAATACGCTCGTGGCTAACCTCAGAGTATATAAGTTTCTGCTCTGGCAGGACTCCTGGTAAGCATCTTCGCTTCTCCAATTCTGACACCATGGGCTCCCCGCTGAAGAGCTTCCCTACATCAGGCCCTTGGTCTACTTGCGCCACGGACCGCTTACGATTTCGTCGAGAACTTCGCCACACCATGACGGACAAGGTTACGCTTATGTCCCCGGAAGACTTCCTGAAGGAATTTGTTCCCGAAGCGAAAGAACGCATGCCGGCTGGTCTCGCCACACTGTTGAGCGCGATCCCCAAATACACCGATGAGACGAAGACATACGGGCCGCTGGTAAGTTCTATATCTTTGGTCTCGCTACAACGACTAAGGATGTGGTTCAGATGGATGCATTGAACGACAGGACCGCGAACCTCTGCCCTGGCTTCAAGTTCGTCGCAACACCGACCAGAGGCGACAAAACCTCAGGAACAGCTAAATCGGTGGACTGCGGTTTGTATCCTGCCAAGTACGCCCCGCGCCCTGGTGTGAACGACGCTGGCGAGCCGACATCTCCTGCCGTCGACTGGTCGAGAATTCAGTTGTCGATCGAGGTCAAGTCGAAGTCGCGCAAGGATCCCTTCGTCGACACCAATGTCAACGGCAAGTCCGACTCAGCCGAGCGCCTGGAAGTGCTCGGCCAAATTCTGGACTACATGAAGCACGTCTTCGACCACCAACATCGTACGTGCCAGTACATGGTCATCATCGTCGAGGAGAACGCACGCCTCCTCCGTATCGACCGCTCGGGGATCTTCGCCACGAAGGCGTTCAACTTCAAGACGAATGGGACGCCACTCATCGACTTCCTCTGGCGATTCGCTCGACTCAGCCCTGAGGAACGAGGGGAGGACGCGACGGCCGAGAGGGTTCCCCATGATTCCAAGATCGTCAGAGATATCCGGCGAAGGGCGCGGAATGCGCCTAACGACTATATCTGGAAGCTGTTTATGGAGTCTCTCGAGGATGAGGCCTATCCGTGGTGGATACTCACGGTGGACGATGAATGCACGAAGACCACCCGGAGATTCTTTGTTGGGAAACCGAACTTCAAGGCGCAGGGCGTTGCAGGCAGGGGCACGCGTGGATACGTGGCTCTTGAGCTGGACAAGGGGGATACGCCGTTTGTTTATACCAAGGATTGCTGGCGGGTCGTTCACGACGAGATCAAGAAGGAGGGCGTCGTCCTCCAGACTCTCAACGCGGAGAACGTTCCACACATCCCCACCGTCGCATGTCACGGGGACATGGGTCAGACCACCAAATCTCAAGACCTCTGGCACAAGTATCACCCTGAAGTCAGCCCGGACGCACCATGCCCCCTCAAGAAACACGAGCATTATCGTCTTGTTGTTAAGGAAGTGGGCAAACCGCTGATAAAGTTCGAGACGGGAATTCAGCTCTTGTTTGCGTTATTCTGTTGCCTGAAGGGTAGGTCACTGCATATTGTCTTACACTGATCTTAACATGCTCACGTAAATACCTGCCCTTATAGCTCATAAGGCGGCGTATCAACTTGGCATTATCCATCGGGATATCAGCGTAGGAAATATCCTGCTCATCCAACGCCCCGATGGCCTTTGGAGAGGGATGCTGAACGACTGGGAGCTGTCGAAGGAGGTGGACAGCGAGTCGCCCGTAGGCCGCCAACCGGATCGCACGGTACAACCATCATCTTCACCCGCCATGATCCTTCGTACTGACTTTTCCACAGGGAACATGGCAATTCCTGTCCGCCCACGCTTTGAACGACTCCGAAAAGCTGATTGTCATCCAAGACGAACTCGAGTCCGTCTTCCACGCTCTCGTGTACATGTCGATCCGATTCCTTCCTCACAACTGTGCGACGGCCAGCGTCGGAAGACTGCTTTATGACTACTTCGACGACTTCCAAGACACGGACAAGGGTTACGGGTGCGGGAAGACGAAGCTGGTAGCCATGCGGACGGGGCAAATCTTCTTCGTTCAAGGCGGCATCGACGTCGAGCTCCGCTTCACGTGGTCGAACGACGAATCCAGCATTCAGCACCCCATCGACAAGATCGTTCGCACGCTCCTTGGCTGGTTCAAAGCCTATTACGCAGTGACTCATCCTGACCCGGCCGCGATCATGCCGACGACCGGGAAGATGCCTCTGCCATTGCGCGGTGGAGGGTTTAGCATGTTCGGCGAGGACCTGGTATGGGGCAATCCACAGGCTTCTGCCAAACGGCCCTCCCCACCGCCGAGGCCCACCGCCGACCAGATGGCCATAGACAAGGAAATCGCAGAAAACCTACAAAATCACGACGCGATGGCCGAACTCTTCATGAGGTACCTGGCCGACCCTAGCAGTTGGCCATCCGAAGACAAGGGCGAAGACAAGCGACCCAAAGGGGGTTACAAGCCCCGCGACGAGATCACCTGTGCCACCACGGAGTATATGTCTATGCCTCAACCCGTGAAACGTGAAGCTGGCGACGTAGAAGAACTCGAGCCCCCTTCCACGCCCAAGCGTCGCAAGCCCGCCGAAGAGTCTGAGGCCCCGTGCACCCCGGAGCACGCCAGCGAGCCTGTCGACGACTTCTCGGAGTAGGCACGTTAGGCTAGGAAGCCACGGCCAGCTCGGCACGTTGGCCCTTCCATTGCCAGTGCCGCCGAGTCCAGCGCCCGACTAGTCTCTTTGATTTTGCGTATCGCTTCCCTCTCTTGTTCTCACCGCCGTGTTCTCTTTTGCAATCTCATACCCTACTTCGGAGTGCCGCCTCCACCAATCATAACGCTGTCCTTTACTACACCATCGAGTCTATCAAGCTCTGGATACCAGTCACCCTCGTCTTGCGTAGGTTATATCATGTTAATGCATGGCTGACTTCGAAGGCAGTACGCGATACGGACCCCTCGACCATGTGGCGATTGGGCGTAAGGAGTCCTAGCAGACTCGGAATTCGCCCGCGCCTCTTGTGACTAGTTTTCAAAGCATGTCAATCATCGATGTCAGCTCGCTCTCTGTTCGCTCGCGACATGTGCATACATTCGTGCTCGACGATACCTCAGAATTATGTAGACATCGCGTATGTATCTAGTCAGTAAGTACGAGCCGCTGGCGGTAGCCTTACAACATCAGCCTGCGGCCGGCGCGTCGATCAACAAGCTTGATATTTCTTATCACTTAGAGCAATACCACGCATTGAGCAGGCCTGGGTGCCCTTTTTATCCCTGCTAATATGCGGTGGCTCAACAGGGCTCAACGCGGCAGTAGGCAGCTTGCAGTACGCGTGGACCACGGTGACGCGCCACTCATTCCTTTGTTCTACCCAGACAGGCGCCCGTCGGCACTCTCCGGCGTGTGGCTAGTACCAGTGGCACAAATCCAAGCTCGCTTCTTCCTCTACAACCACCACCACCCCCAACCACCGCCATCCCCGCGCCGAGAAGATTCGCCTCGGGCTCTTCCATATTTCTTGACGCTAACATGACCGCTATGAACGAAGCTCAGCTCACCAAGCTGAAGCGGCCAGAGCTCCAGAAGCTCGCGAAGGTCTGACACACCTTGGCGCGTGCTTTTAGCCACTCGTGTTGACATTTAATTTTGCAGATACACGGGGTGAAGGCGAACCTCAAGACCGATGCAATCATTGCGCAGCTGTTGGAGCGTTTCCCCGGTGGAATTCCGTATGCCTGTTGCGTTACCTGAGGTTGGGATAGGGATTGATCATAGTTCGCCCAGGTCCAGCGATGTGGCCGAGGCGAACCACTCTACAGATGGTCCTCCCACTGAACAGCCCGCAGAGAAGGCGGATTCGAACGCTAATCCCAAACCGAAAGGAAGAAAGATCGCTGGGATGAAGAAACGACCGCAGCCCAAGGTGAATCCGCCTAAGGTGGCTGTTGCCGTTGAACAAGGTGAGCGAAATGTCCACTCGATCCGTGAGCATCTGCTCACCATCTGTGAAGAGCCGGCCGCGCCGGTCTCCGGTCCCCCAGTGAAGAAGACCAAGGCGAATCCACGGATACAGCCTGACAATGCACTCGGGCTGGTTGAGGAATCTTCTAGTGCCGCTCGTGTCGTCCCGAAGTCGATCAAGATGACCATAAAGGTCCCAGCGTACGTAAAGTCTCGACGATGGATGTCACGCAGCACTAACGATCGTTCCCGGGATCCAGAATGACTCCGAAATCGGCAGCAGCCGTCAAAGGCGCGAACGCTACGCGTCGTTCACCACCTCAAGCCGCTGCCTCGAGCGTTTGCACCCGAACGGATGCTGAAAAAGACGATACACAGGTTCCAGAGATACCCGAAGGGCTAGGTGAGCGAGCAGTTGCAGGTATGTCCACGTAACGCAGTTGCTGATTGAAGCACGTCAGGGCCCATGTATTCCATTTCGACCGGAATCCCTGGCTCCACTAAACAACGAGTGATCATGGCTTACCAACGGCATATGGTCCCGAACCTGTCCGAAGCCGTTTCCCGTGCGATTAACGGTCCCACCCCCCTTGATCCCGCCAGGATCACGTACGACCCCCCTGAGAGCGACGCGACGTTCGACAAGTCTACGTCCACCAACCACCCAGTGTTCACCTTCCCTTCTCATGCACCCACCGACCACACGATTGTGTACACGCCCTCTACGCCGCCCCGCAGCCGCGCCCCCGGCGCCGCCGAGCGCCCACCGCCCACCGCCCCGCTTCTCGCTCCGCCAGCCGTGCTTGAGCCGCCGCGCGGCTCCGCGGCAGACACTGAGGTAGTGGTTCGCAAGATGGCCGACATCTCCGCGGAGCACAAGAAGTTCTGGCCGGAAGTGCTCGCGTACGGCGCGAAGGCGACCACGCTCGCGAGCTCTGTCCCCAACTTGCGCAAACTGGTGCGACAGGAGCGCGCAGAACGCCTGCGCATGCACGACTACCTCGCGTACTGGCACGCAGTCACGCCGGGCTGGACAGATGACGAGATCTGGTGCGAGGCGAACCCGACGCGCATCGACGAATCGGGGCGCGAGGTCGAGGTGTTGTCCGACGAGGAGGACCCGGTCATTCGCCAACAGTTCCGTCGGTATGTACTCCTGTGCTTTTCTTGTGTCGTACATTGCTCACCCAAAGCTACTTGTAGTGTCACTGGTGCGAAGGCCACCGAGATCCTGATGCGCCGTCGTGCGTATCGCCGTGACTCTGATGAGGAGTACGTCTTTCTTAATGTTGATCCTTTTTTGCCTGCTGACTTCGAGTCTTTTCCCGCAGGGTAACACGTATTTCTGAGGTGTTTGAGCTGACGGCAGAGCGCAAATTGGTGCTTCCCGGATCGGGAAGCAAGAAGCGTCGCTGCACACCCATGGATGAAGTCCCGGCAGGGAAACGGCAGAGCAAGAGGGCGCGTGGGGCGGATACACCTGCGAAGGCTGCCGGGACGGTACCCGCTGCCTCTATCCCGCCCCTAGGTGCCATCACGGAGGACTGCGAGATGTCAGACTAGAAGGTTGCTACCTGTGCACGAGGGAGAGTATTTTGGATGGAATGCTAGAATTTGTCGGATAAGGCTGCTATCTGTATACTGCTTCATGTTTGAGTTGGATATCAATGTACTGTACAATGCTGTATTTTCTGTATCGACGATGCTTTGGGATCATCCTCGTACGTGCTTACAACGCCGCCGTAGCGCCTCGCAAGCCGAGCCCTTCGATCCATGCCTCCCATTCAGCGTTCAATCGCTCGGTCGCCTCAAACTGTACCCAGTGGCCCACGTCCAGTTCTACGATCTTCGCGCCCGGGACGTACTTCTCGACGTTCGGCCTGTTCGATGCGGCCGAGCCGGCTGCGTCGCGCAAAGCCGCGACCCACAGCGCGGGCTTGCGGATAGTATAGGCTTCCTCAGGGACCTCTAAATAGATTGAGCAGTGGTCAACGTGAGTAGGTGCAGCGAACGTATCGACGTTGAAACGCACTCTTGTCATCCGGAAGGTTCAAGTTGTTGACGGCCGCTTTGTAGAAGTTCATCAGCGATTGAAGCCCGCCGTCGGCCAGGGTCTTCCGTAGCACATCATATTCCTGCGCACGGCGTCAGCCAATGCTTCATGTTTTTTGTGTCTTACTGACCTGTTGCGTGAGCCATTTGGGGATTCCGGGGGTACGGTTCTCCTCAACCCATTGCTGGAGTTTACCAACCGGCGTGAGCCACTCGAGCCAGACCTCGGGGTGCGTCGGATACACGAGCTGCAAGAACGAGTCGATCTTGAGAGAACACATGTCAACCACGTCTTGTGTATCAGTATTCAGGAGGTGCTCACGTTACGCTCGCACACCACGTGTGCATCGCCCAAGTTGAAGAACTTCCAGTATCCGAAGTGTGGGTTCCCACTATGCGTGCGCAGGTGCTCTATAACTGTGTCGATGTCGAACGGATGCGGCCGCGGCGGCTGGTACCCAACGGCGTTCCACGCGTACGCGTAGAACCGCTCGTCGTACAGGTTCGCGAGACGGGACAGTACTGTCGAACCCCTATTCGCAAAGACGAGGGACAGACGGCGTCAGCATCTTTCGGGCCGCCAGGAGTATCAATCGGAGTAGTTACCAATCGTGTGCGATCCCGACGACTTTGTCGAGGCCCTCGGCGTCGAGGAGGTCGACAATGTCCCGCGCGATCAGAGCGAGGCGAAAGGCGTCCGGATCTTCTGGCTTGGATGTTCCGCCAGCCCCGATGAGGTCCGGAACGAGGAGGCCGTAACCCTTGGGCCGGAAGTACTCGACCTGTCTGTGCCAATCGAAGGAGCTTGAGGGAAAGCCATGTACGAGGAGCAGGGTGGGGTATCCCGACGTCGCGGGAGAGTAGAAGTAATGGTAACTGTACCCACGCGAGACTTTCGCGTCTTTGTAGAGCGTTGCATCCATCCTCACAGAGTTGTCTGAGTAGTAGAGTGCTCAAAGATGAAGGCGATCCACAAGAAGTGTCCCGTGCTGCACCTCGCCTTAAATGGGCCTCCGGTTTATCATCAGCCTTGGTCATTGAATGTCTCTGCTGATCAAGCCCTAATGACTGCGATCAGCAAACCTCATCCGCAAGCTCTCTTACGTTTGGAGGCGTAATAGATGCGACTCCGGATTCGGACTGCCAGCACCCAGTGCCCCTGAATTCCGGAACGCTGGCATTGGGATTCGGTGCTCGTGGGTAAAGTTGCAGATCTGTGCACCCTAATTGGCGCATGAATTGCAATCTAAATTGTATAGGTCTTCGAGGGGTCGGAGGGTACATAGTCATAGTAGTACAATGGTCACATGGGATACGCTGAGAAATATGATAACACGATGCCGTACGACGACTGAACAGTGATGACGACGAATATGAAAGGTCGACCCACGTATCCAGAACAGACGGCGTCTGAATCAGTCAGGCGCGAAAGGGACAGAGGATGGAAGGGCGGGGGAAGCTAGCTTGGAGACCAAATGAGCCAGACAAGACAAGTCAGACAAAACAAGACGATAGAAAAGGTGAAAACTCAACTGAAGAGCCCGCCCGGGCGGCCGTCCAGGAGCCCATTCCACATCGAGTTCATCATCTACTAGACGGTGTCATAGAGGCGGCTGCCAGGAAAGACCTTGATCTGCTCGTCGAGGCACCATTGGGGCGTGATGTAGATGATGTCGGTCTCAACAATCGCGCCGCCACCGCTGATGATCATGCCAACGATGCGACCACCTTTTTCGATGACGATGGCGCTAGAATCTCTGGTTACAGGGAAAACGTCCCGATTCCGTTCGCAAGACAGGACGGCTAGCTCGACGGACATCTCAGTTCCGTCTTCGGCGTAGATGCGAGTGAACGAGTCCAGTCCGTTGACGCGACCTACGGTAGTGCCCGTGGTCGCGCCGTTCTTCACCGCGCGGAGGCACTTGTAGCCGTTGACGTCCAACTGCTGGGGCGAGCGGATGTCGTCGTCCTTCACGATTCCAGTGACCTGGAGGAGACCGTGAAACGGGTATTTGTAGCCGGCCTGGTCCTCGATTCGGGGGAACATCATCGTGCGATAGTCGGACCACGAGAGGTTCCCGTCTGCAGGGATACATATAATAGTCAACTTAAATCGCGGGACGTTGCTGTGACTAGCGGTAAGGAAAACGTACCAATATAGACCAATGTAGACCTGGTTGCCTTTGAACGAGCCCCAGTTGATCTTGTCCTCGTAGAATTCGACCAGCGCTCAGTCGCGGGTGTATTTGTGGGGTCCGTCGCTGACGGCGATGGGTTCAGTGTGGGGGACGAAACCGATGGTGCGATGTACCGGGAGCGTCCTACACTTGGTGACGTTGCTGTGAAGTTTGTTTCTCTTCCCGATCTTCTTCTTCGCCTCGTCAACCAAACCTAGGTACTCCTGGCGCCTCTCGGTCGTCTCTTCGTTCGTCTCCTGGCCCCCGGCGGGCTCATGTAAACGAACAATATTGGCGTTCCACATCTGGATCGATTCAACAAGGTCGCTAATCGCTTTCAGCATACTCGTGATAGCTTTCCTGTACCCGTGCGATCTGGTAGCCGCCCCATGAGCTACTGACCATTCGACTTCGACAGTTTCGGGTCGTTGAGCATCTCTTTCTCCTCCCTGTCAGAATGAACGGGAGCAGGTATTCGGGCTGGTCAGGTGGGGCCTGAATGCGAGATGCGAGGCGTACCTTCACAGTAGTTGTTCCAATCGACTGTTCACACCGAATACGACACGCTGAACGACAATAACGGCCCAGTTGTGGCCCCGTTAAGTGCAGCGAAATGTTCGCCTCCAAAGTACGCTCGCTCTACAACGTAGAAATGAGCGAGGATGGACGTTATGACCGTTGAACCAGCCATCGATCGTATGTAGCTACAACCGAAACCTAATCGTTAGTTAAAAACGCACAAATCAGCGAACAATAGTGGAGCGCACTTACCACCCTTGATCTAATTGTACTCGGGCCGATTGGCGGCCTTGAAGGTGGACACAATGGCGAGTGGCACAGTGGCTAAAGCCAGCGCTAATGGCCTTGTCTCCCGGCCCGCGCGTATAACGACACAAGGCGCGCCCCCCGTTCAGCCACAACACCCATCTTTCCTCCGCTCGGCCACCACCCTCCTCTCCACGCCACTCCCTTCGAACCCAAAGACATATACTCCACTCACCTCACCCCTCCTGAAGACATGGACAAGGGTGCGTTGTTGAAGCTCAAGCGCGCAGATATACAGCAGCTAGCCAAGGTACGACAGTGTGGCTAGCCATTCGCGCCGCGTTGCCTAACATCGTGTCGTGTTCCGCTTCTACAGCGCGATGGCGTGAAGGCAAACGGCAAGACGGCCGATATCGTCGAGGAGCTGGTGAAGAAGCACCACCCACTGCTGGTCCCTGCGTACGTATTCCTTCTCCAATCCCCTTCGCGTGTCGCTGAGCGTCTTGTAGCATGGGTGCAAAGCCAGATACCCCAGTCATATCAAACAAGACGAAGGCAAAGGCCAGCGACAAGAAGCCTAAAGTCATGGTCGAGATCAGCACCAAGCCGCCCCCGAAGCAGGCTTCCGCAAAGCGAGCCCCCCCAGCAGCGCGAAGCCCAGCCAAATCGCCGACAGCCGTGCGCGCGAGCCCGAAGTGCGCAGACGCGAATGCGTCGGCATGTCCGCGCATTAGTCCTAAGGAAGCCTCAGGTACGTCGGCAGTGCTGCCGCCCGAAGCCCAGAGTCCTGACGTCTCGACGTCAGCACGCGCCATGCCGCCCCCTCCGCCACGAATCGTGTTGCCAAAACCGGCCAAGGACGCAGGGTCGCGCAGTCCCGCCCAGGTCTCGGAGACGGGCACCGAGCCGGCCTATGAAGCACCGCAACCCGCGCCGAGCGTGGAGGTCCTCTGCCCGACCATCACGGAACTCCGTACAGCGCTGCGGAATGTGAAGCCTCTTACAGAGCAGAATGGGGACGTGCGGAACCAGCTTCGTGAGCTCGGGATCCTTGTGGATGTCGTCGAGAAGCGCGAGGCGAGGGTCCGCGAGAAGGTCCAGCGTGTGCAGAAGATGCGGCTTGCGCTGGGCAAACACTTCTTCGCGATGATGAAGGAGGACCCTCGGCTGACGAATGGGACCTGGGAGAGGCCGGAGAGCAAGGAGAGCGAGGTGGCCGGGCAGCAGGAAGGCGACGAGAAACCTTCCGGTGAGGGACCGGGCGGCATGGAGCAATCTGGTGACGCACGGTATGTACGCACGGCCACCTATCAACGACATGCACTCACCTGTCATTCCTAGACCGGAGGCCCATCTTAAAAACGCACGAAGCCGTCCTGAGGATGTCAGCGACGAGCCCCCAACGAAGCGAGTGCGAAGGTGGAGGGCTTGAGCTTCAAGTCCAAGGGGTCGGAGGTGGACTATATCGTCTTCTGGAGCCTGTGAGTTCGCGGACTATACTTTGTTGTACTTGTACGTGTTTTAGATGCTTGGAGGACCGAAAGGTCCGCATGTAATCAGCTCTTGGCCGTGTCCGCCCAGTGGTGGAGTGTGCGTGGTAGCATCTTGTTCAGCTTTCAAAAAGACAGCATAAGGGCGTTGAGACAGTGCACTATCCAAGCATGACTCAGAGATAGCGTCTGTTGGTGGCCATGGTGACTATGCAGAACGTCGAGGAGGTCGTGCAGATCGACGTCAAGAGGCAAGGCTGATGGGCGCTTATACACGCGCTCTTCTTGTCGCAAACCATCATCGTACATATTCCTACGCTCTCGACCATCGTATCTCGCTCTCAGGGATGCTCATACCAAGCACATTAATGTTGTGGATCAACTAAGTTGCGATAATCCGCTACGATGCCCGACTGGGGGCCGATCTTCCAACCTTCGACTGTGCTGGGTCGGGGATGTCTCCAACGCACCCATATCGTCCCCGCGGCGTTTGAGTTCATCGTGGATGGGAAATCTACAGGTACAGGTAAGCATGTAAATCTAATGACCAGGAATTTGAAGGTACGTACGAAGGGTTGTCCTCTCTGCTGGACTCGTCTTCGCGCTCCGGCAAGTCAGACAGAAAGACCTCCCTGAACAAGGTCATTTTCTCTACCTCTGCAATACCTTCCTTGTCTGTGTCTTCAGGCAGGTCAGGCGGCGTCCAGGACCCGTTCACTAGCCTCGCGTCCGTCTTTATCCACGCGAAGAAGTACTCCTCTAACGCTATTTGCGCAGAAAGGGAGGTCCTTCACGAAGTGCCTCTCCCGCAAGTGCGTCTCCATCAACGCGCCCGTCTTCGCGATGTGCTCACATCCCCGCCATTGACAATGCCACCGCCTGGTCTTGCAACCTTGATGCTTCAACTTGTGCTCCATATCCATGTGGGCCTGCCACATCAACCGCTCGATGACCTCCCGCAGCAGCCCCGATTGCACCGCACGTTGTGTGGCTCTGGCTGCACCCTGAAGCTTGAAGAGGCGCTGCTCCACAGTGACGACGAGAGTGTCCATTTCCAGGACCTCCTGGGCGTGTGTACTCCCCTCCGTCAAGGGCTTCCTGCTGTTTCCGACGTCAGCCGGGATTCAAAGACGACGCAGATGGGCGACATACCAGTACTCGAACTCCGGAGGCTCGTGGGCGATGATTGGGGAGTATTGTCTCCAGTGAAATCTGCTCATGTACAGACCTTCGCGAGCTTTTCAGCCTTCTGTACGTTGACGCGCGTCAACTTTGATAGTGCGTTGCTGTCCATCGTGTCAGGTATGTGTTTGGATCTGGTTAATGGGTCTGACAATGCTTGTGGTCCATCGTGTAAGGTGTATACTCGCATGAGGCTGATGCGGGGGAGGAGAGGATGGGGACTTAGGCGAGACGTCGACGGAACGCGATGCCCTATATATCCTCGATCTAGCGCCCACTCAATGACCCTTCCGACGCGTCGTAGCTGAAAGTCATAATGGAGTTCATGGTGCGCTTTCGTCAGAGATACTTCATCCCCGGCGGTGCTGACCAACGCCTAGGATGCCGTTTTCAGGAGCATTCACGCGATTGTTTACAACTCAAACTACTTTCTCTTCGAGCGTAGTGATTAAGAACCTAGCTCAACGAATGTCGTGCACGAGGACTCTCTGGTCCTACTTCCATGTACCTTACCCAGCAAAGTAGGCGTTTCTCCGAGTCATCTTGATCTTGATTCGCGCGGGACAGTACTGATAGAGAACCTATTCGCCTTAATCAGACGCCGCACAAGCTTGCCGACCATGTTGACCAAGCGGGTGCGCCACTGGCAGCGGATTGCCTTCAGTGACTATTGTCCTAGGTGGGACAATCGGAAAGACGACTCTCTTAGCCATGATCTTCCGCGCGTGGCTAGTGCGTAGATCCTGGTTGACCTTGCGCAATTCGTGGCTTGAACCACCTTCGTCTCCCCTCTATCGACGTTCAGCCCTGCTTCCTCCTCTTACCCCTTTCCCATCTTCAACCGTGAAGGAAAGACGACATGCCCAGCGCCCACTATCAGCTCGAAGCGGCCGATTTCCTGCAGGAATGTTTTCCCCAGCCGGCGACGGAGTTTCGTCCGTTAAGAAACACCAAGCTGTGCGGGGAGCGTCGCCCCTCAACGGAATATGCTCGATACAAGGACATCGTAAGTGGATAGCCGCATCATGCACGCGTACTCATTCTCAGAGAGCCCACAGACCGACATGCTAAATCGTTCCGGACATTGCCACGGCTTCCGATTCGTCACAATATACGAGAAGGGTGCAGACGGCTCGAAGGACTGCGTATGGGCTGCGGCGTGGCCTAACAAGATGGGACCACCAAAAAAGTTTGTCACCTCGCGGCCCACCGAGCGTCGATTGGATCCTGTTCACCGGTACCCCATGGATATCCCAATCATCTGCTACCCCTCCGACGAGATAAATCACGATCCCTTCAACAGTCTCCATCATCGAACCGACTTGGACTCCGATGCTACCCGTGTATTGGGACAAGTGCTTGCGCAGGCGCAGAGCCTGTTTCGCTTTCAGCATCGAACATTCTGTTATGTGATCGTGTTTTTCGGTTGCTACGCTCGCATCGTCAGAGTCGACCGTGCCGGCACCACATTCTCGACATCCATCGACTGCACCTTGGATGCCACACACCTCATAAATTTCCTTCGTCATTTCTCTCAGGCGTCGCCCGCTGACCGGGGAATCGACCTTACGGCGGAACACGTCCCGCACGACTCTCTCCTAGGCAAAACGATGCAACGACGCGCCGAGCTCAACAAGCACCCCAACAGCCCCACCGACCACCCACGCCATCTCTTCGCACAGTCGCTCCAGGAGGACTGGCCATGGTTCAAGCTGTCCGTCGGCGAGGGCGCCTCCCGTCGCGAATTTCTTGTCGGACGCCCCCTATACGAGCGCTCCGGCGCTCTCCCAAACACCTGTTCGAGAGGGTATATTGCGCTGGACACGAACGACCCGGACCAACCCCTCGTTTTCCTAAAGGATATGTGGCGACTGAGCCGCGTCGGGTATCTCCCGGAGGGTGTGACCGTTGCACGGCTGAATGCCGCAGGCGTTCCCCACGTCCCTACTCTCGTGTGCCACGGCGTCGTCGATGGCCAGGTTACGCTCTCCGATCAGCTAACAGATCACGAGACATTCGCCAGTCGCGTGCACTATCGCATCGCAGTCAGCGAGGTCGGGAAGCCGCTTGACACGTTCAACCACAGCAAGGAGCTCCTTGATGCGTTGAAATGCTGTATAATCGGTGTGTATCCCGTCCTTCCGCCTTGTTGAGTGGCATCGCTGACAGAGCACATAGCCCATAGTCGAGCAATGGAGATTCCGATCTTGCATCGCGACATAAGTGATGGGAACATCCTCCTCGTCTGGAATCCAAGCCTCAACAAATGGGAAGGAATGCTCACGGATTGGGAGATTGCCACAGATTTCACCGAGGCATGCCATTACGACGGAGACCCAGTGCTGTGTTGTGTGAGTCCCGCGAGTCCTCATTGTGTCCAAGGAACGTGTCTCACAACTTCTTTCGAAACGTTCTCAGGGTACGCAGGTGTTTGCGGCGGTCCGCGTTCTGGAGGCGACCCGCGGCGCGCCAGAGCGAGAGGCCGAGGACGACCTGGAGGGCTTCCTCCACGTCCTCCTTTACTTGTGCTTGAGGTACCTCAGCAGCAACCTCCAGAACATCAGCGCGTTCCTCCAGCGCTACTTTCACGAAGACGGCTTTCTCGAGCTCAAACGCGGGTCCTTCCGTGCCCGCTGCGTCCAGGCAGGCAAGATCCCCATCTCCCAGTCCAGAAAAGGGCCTGCAATGGAACTCCGCTTCGCGCTCCCTAGCGACACAGGCGAACGCTCGATGCGCCGTCCGCTGTACACCCACCCGCTCAACGACGTCCTCCGTCAGCTTTTCGAGTGGCTGCGCGTACGATACGAGGTTTTGCCGAAGATGTCGCAGTACAGGCGGTATTGGACGCCTAAGGGATCGGACAGCAAGACGTTCACCGCGCAGCGGATAATTGACCTGCTCGACGCGGCGCTGCAGGACCCCCAGTGGCCGGTCGGGGACAAGCGTGAGGATCGCTGTCTGAAGGAATTCAAAAGTGTCAAGATCGAACGGACTGACACCCGCATGGTGCTCCCGGACGATGTCCCTATCCCGCGCCCTAAAGCGCACGAACGACCTGAAGTGGAGCTTCCGGCAGCCAAAAGGAGGCGACGCGCGTGAACGTATTCTATACCCGACTGTAAGTGTCTCCGTCCGTATACCACTTTCCTCCTCAAGCTCTTACACTTCTCCAATAGCTTTCCTGCCTGTGCGCGTCGATAGCTGGTCAATGCTAGTTATCTCCTTCCGGACCTTTGCATCTGTTTTATGTTTATCTCTTGCTCTACTTTATTGCACTCGTTTCATTTGTACTTCCACCTACAATCATCATCGCACGTTCAGTATTTGTCCTCCAAGCAGCAGGCGCGTTTTGTTACACCCATCCGATCAACGGCGTCATCCAGCAGATGCTGTCGTGGATTCGGGCTCGAGACGACGCGATGCCCAAGAGATGGGAGTACCGAGTCGAGTGCCCCGACAACGGCCACAAGACTTTCACTGGGCAGCAGGTGATTAACTTGCTCGACGCGGCGCTGCAGGACTCCCGGTGGCCGGCCGAAGACAAGTGCGACGACCGTTGGCCGGAGTACTGGTCCAAGCGCATTACACGCACCGAGGTCCGCAGGGTGCTGCCAGACGATGTGTGGCGTGAGCGACCAGATGTTGAGCTTCCGGCAGCGAAGCGGAGGCGGGTTGCGTGAGCATGTATTATACCTGCTAGTGAGTGTCTCTCTTTCGCGTAAAAGGCGCTTTCGTGTTGACCAAACTCTTATGATTCCCCTTTGTAGATGCGCGAAGAAATGGTTGTATCATACCAATAAGCCCAAGACGGTTTCTACTTAGACTCTTCTAGTCTTTTGGGGCTCTATCTTCTGTATTCGTCCGTGTATTGTATTCGACAATAACCTTGTGAGAACTTGAGTCTCTGCATGCAACCCGAGGCGGCCTGTGCAAGTAATCACCGAACCGTTTTTCGCAAGATCTGGCGACGGTGCCAAAGAGGTCAAAGTCCTTTCACTAACGATCGGAAATGCTTCTCAAAGCACGCTATAGGCATCACGAAGGTTGCTAGCAATTTCACTGGGCGTGTAAATGGATGTGTAGAGGCTGGACGATGGTGGCGGCGCAGGGGAGTCGGAGAAACGAATATAATGAAGTCCTCGTTTCTGGGCGCTTACTGCACCCTCCTCGTGGTTGTCTCTCGACTACTTACCGCCATGTCGCTCAACCCCAAACTTCGCTCCTCCGTTGCAACCGATGTCAAGAGCATTCGAAAAGCTTGAGAATGCGTCGAAAAACACACTTGAGGTCATCACGACAGAACTTCCAGTTCAGTTTGGTGTGCACACGGGAACACGGTGACACGTCGCGCTCAGTTTGTTCGGATTCATCGTTTTTTCTTGTAACAGATATACAACAAGCAACCATGTGTACTGGGAAGATTCTCTAGTCCGCATCCTTCGGCGACGCTTGCACCCACAACATCGTACATTCTACTCCCTCCATCGTCTCCAAGGTTCATCCGCCACCCATGCATCTGTCTTCGTCTTCGCGACCTCCTGCTTCTCCAGCACGTTGTGGCATGTTGTGAAGGGTGTCGCAAGGGAAAGGTCACCCAGGGGAGAGACGTCATGGAGGATGTGGGCGACGCAGCACGGCGGCGTCGACGACGTTGAGTGCTCGGGTCCTCTCCCTCGCGTGTACGTCTCGCCTGCAAGACGGACGACCTCCGCGAAGGCAGCCTATCGGTCCGCTATCGAAGGGACTTGCCCGTAGCTGGATATGCTGAGAGGTTTTGCACAGGCGTAGAGATAACTGCTGGTGAGTCTTGGTATCCTACATAGTAGACGGCCGGTTCCCGTGGGCGGCCAGGGTGGAGGATCAGACGGTGGTGCGTCTTCATTGATTCTTTCTGTGCGGAGTTTGCTGCCTTGAAGTTGCGCATGCCCGTCGTGGAGCGTCGCACCCCCTCCCCCCGCGGTGAGGGGTAGCGCTTGCGCGGGTGGTCAGCAGACTAGTGTCTCATTGACCGACGGACCTGGTACCCTCATGAGCGAGCCGTCCTTCGGGTCGCTGCGCAAAGGGACTTACCTCTGCCTTGAGCTCCTCCGAAAGGCCCCCGAATTGTGCCAAAGACGGTTGGGGTCCTGTACCACACACGCATTAGCGACTGATGTACTTTCAGCAGGTCGACAATGATGTTCGCACCGACTTGATAATCCCGGCCGCGAATCGACGGTGAGTATGGCTCGGGGCTCCCTGCAACCGCTGATATCAACAAAATATCCAAGACGAGCTGCAGGGGCGACATACCGGCGCTCGAACTGGGTAGGCTCGTGTCAAACCACCGGTCCATGTACTGCGACCACAGAGGATCGTCGACGATCTCACATTCTACTAGCGGCGATGCTTAGCATTGAGAACTTGTAGCGCAGACAGGATGCTCACCGTTCGTTTTCAGCTCGTTGAGTTCTCTGAACTCGCACTCTATGGCAGTGGGTACGGCCCAGGCGCCAAACGCGCTCATGTCGAACCAGCCGCTGAGCTCGGCGCAGGCCACAAAGTCTTCGGGCACGGACTCGAAGAGCAGGAAATACTCCCGCTCTTCTGCGGTATTGCCCTCGGAGTTGCTGGCGGTGTCCTGCGTTGACGAACCTGCGGAGCGCGTCGTGCGCGTGCTTGCCGCTTGGGTCGGGTCGTTCGCCGCCCTGCGTGCGCTCCGGCGTACGGCGATCGGCTCGCTCGCTAGATGCAGGCGTCCTTGTCGGCCGTGCACCCTTCTCGCGCTGGGAGGGGCTTGCTGCCCAGTTTCGGGCGGACTCGCCTCCAAGCTGCAGCGTGCCGCTGTTAGCCACACTGGTCACACCGTGAAGGGCTCGCGGACGTACGGTGGGACGGGGAACGGGTCGTGCTTCTCAATCAGTGCGTCGATCATCTTTTCCTTTGTTCCCTTCGCGTTTAGGTTGTCACGCTGGGCGCAGAGGGAAGACGCGAACTTCAGCCACAGGCGCGAGGGGGAACAAAGAGCCACAACGGACGTACCCTGGCAAGTTTCTGCAATTCGGCGCGCGTCAGGTTGGACAACTCCTCGCGATTCATCGTGTGGGATGTGGTTGAAGGATGTTTAGGAGGATATCTGGTGAGTTTGGAGGTGGGGGTGGTGGAAGGAGGATGGGATGGGTTTGCGAGTGGCGCTAACCTCTATATCCCGCAGTGCGGCAAGGTCGGGCCGGAATTTAGCCATCTGGCCACACTCCGAAGGTCTCTGGTGTGGCCCGGAGCTCTCCCTAGGTTCCGCATGGTGTCAGGTCCACATTACAATCGCCTGCAGAGGCCCGGACATTCGCTAAGAATATTGAAAGGGAAAATTGTGCGAGGTGCCGTGTTTTGCACTGTTCACGGTCGTTTATGGGAGCCTCACCGAGTCTGCCAATTCTCCCTTGCGCTTGTGAGTGATATTCGACTGGAGGACAGTATACACAAGTAATTGCTTCTAGATAGATATCGTACACGCCATTCTGGGGAATGTATCGACTTCCAGGTGCCCTTCGCGGTGACACAACACGCCTGCTTCGTCGAGGACGGATACTGACTAACGTATGATGTTGATTGCGGGTACAAATACAGAACCGAGTACTTCCAATGAAGCAGACCAAGAGATAAATATAAAACCGCTGCAAAGGTCCAGAAGAAGAGAATTGACGTTGACCAGCTATCGATGCGCGTGGGCAGGATGGCTACTACTGGAGGAGCAGTGTCGGAGCTTGGGTAGGAGAGCGGTATACGGACGGAGACACTTACAGTCAGCACGCCTCCCTTTCGAGACGTCGAAAGTAGGATTTACGACTTCTAGTGCCAGTGTCCACGAGTACCCGGCGCGTCGAAGACAGTGCCTTTTTGGTCAGAGTGCGGGGCGCCGACGAGGAACTCCCGCCTTGAGTGTCCCTCGCCCACCGGCAGCTTGAACCAGGGCCAGTCCTCCTTGAGCGACTTCTCGAACGACGCCCATGCGTAGTCTTCAAGGTTACCAGGGTCCTTGTCGAGCGCCGCTCGTCTTCGCATCAACTTGCTTAGCGCGGAGTTGTGCGGAATCCGTTTTGCAGTGGTGTCGATTCCTCGGTTCACGGGGGAGAGACGCGAGAAGATGTGCAGGAACTCCATGGAATAGTGCGCGTCTTTGGCACAGTCGATGTACGCGGTGAACACTACGTATACCCCGGCACGGTCGATACAGAGTATCCGGTGTTGACCGCTTCCAAACACCGGCATAAGGCGCTCGACAAACCTTTTCCACAAACGATCTCTCTCTTCCGGGACGGCTTCTGGGTGTGGTTCGGATCGATCGCAGATGTCGTAGAACAGATCGTGTACTATGTCGCCGGCGGGTTCGCAGATAATGGGGATATCCGCCATATGACGGTGCATGGGCCCTAATCGCAGCTCGGTGGCTTGGAATGAATCGGTAGCCTGGGCAGTGATGTGAATCGTTCAAGATGTCCGTCTGTGGCGTCTCGAGTCAGCTATATTCTATCAACGGAAGCGGACTCACAATATTCTTGTAGCGTTCGTATTCTCCTGCTGGGCATGGTTTCCCGGCGAATGTGGTTGTACGAGGGCGGCGGAAGCTGCCACAGGTGCTGGAAAATGTGCTTCTAAGAATCTTTCTACGTCGAGTTGAAGTAGGGCGCCGGATGCCATGGCTGGATACCGACGAATGGAGGGATATTGGGTGGGAGAGAACAGGCGAGTGACGAGGAGATACACGAGAGGGTAATTTTGAAGGTTTATGAAAAAGTTACCCATGAAAGGGCCACAGTCGGCGGAATGCGAATGTTGCGGCCAGGAGATTGCATTGTCCTTCAAGTTGGGCAGCCGAGCCGTTACGACAATAGGCCAAGACTTGGTTACAGATCGCCCTAATTGGAAAGGGTAGGAACGATGGTCGCCCTGTCTCCTAAACCTTTCTAAATACGCCGATCTCGCTGGCCCAGCGTGTATATCGTCGAGCTGAAAAGACATAGGATCAGGCAGGCCGCACGCACGCGCTTGATCATAGTAGACACTGAGAACATCAAATACTTCCTCGGTTCGTCTTCCAAAACGGGCGGGTCCATGGACATCGCGATGTTCTGGTAAGGGTCTTCCTGCTGACACATATTGCTACACTTCGTACAGAGCATACTGTAAATCGGGAAAGCGTCCCGGTCAGCATTCAGAACGGTTTGCCAGCCCTGATCGCCTTCGCTGCCTCGCTCTGTGCCTCGTTACGGAGGTATCGCGCGTATATCTGCGCGTAATGCTCTTTGTCCTAGATTCTCCATGAGTATCGTGGTTCGTGCCCTTGCTGAGCGGACTTACACTCTGGGTCCGGAGCACGCTCTCGCGCGTCTCGAGCGCCTTCGCGTACGCAACCCACGCACTCCCCGCCGCCTCCCTCTCGTACCCGCGGTTCTCCGCGAGGATGTAGTCGCGCAGCACCCACGGCGCGAGCGCGATGTCGACCAGGCTGAACTGCGCCCCGAGGAAGTACGGGCCCCTGACCTTGTCGGTCAGCGTGCGCAGGCCCTTGTAGAAGTCCGCGAGGTGCTCCTGTTGCTTCTCCGGCTCCTGCGCCAGGACGAGCCGCATGAACGTCGGCACGATCTGCTTCGAGACGTGGTCGACCCAGAGGCGCACGTACGCGCGGTCGAAGGGGTCGGTGGTGAGGAGGTGCGGGGTGTGTTCCGGGAAGGCGTCCTCGAAGAACTCGCAGAGGATGAGCGACTCGTACATGGCCTTGCCCTTGTACTCGATGGCGGGGACGAGGCCCTTGGGGTTGATGTCTGGCACACATGGGTTAGTGGTGTCCGCGGTGAGCGGTCTGGGGTCCAGACACACCAAGGAAGTGTTGCTCCTTCTTGTACGGGTTGACTTCCTTGTACTGGTACGGGATCCCCTTCTCCTCAAGGGATATCCAAGAGCGCTGCACGTATGGGCAGAACTGCAGGACACGGGGTTGGTGGCGCTAGAGTGCTATTTGACGGGTACCCACTCACCCATCCCGCGTATAAGACAAGATCCTGCGGAGCTTGGTGCTGCTCCACGGTCTTCGCCGCCAACCCGGTTGCATGGGAATGGATATAGTTTCCGTCGTTGCTCATGGTGCTTGTGCTTGAGTGACACTATGAAGATGACCTGACGCGCACAGAAGATTTGGGGGATCCTTGCTATATATGTGTTTGCTGAGTGAAGGAACCTGCACATGCGCCTGTGGAACGGGTTTCCACGGTCGAGGCTTGATGACGAAGCATAACAGTCAGCAGACGCAGGTGCAAGGATTTCGCCATCGGATTCAAGGGTAAATCACAGTGTACTCAGGAGACTCCGAGGATTCATGCAGGGGCTGCTTTGTGGGTTGGCGAGGTACGCAGTGACGCGTGGGTATAAGAACGGCTACAAATACAAACATCGTATGGGGTCGTAAATGGTCGTAAAGGATAACGATATTCGACACCTATAGATCTCAGTTAGCAATCGAACATGACTATATGCTGTCTCAAGACTCGCTTTGGGGTTCTCCAAGGTGCAATCAGGTACATGCAGACAGAACTCAACACTTCTCCTGGCCGTGATGATGGTGGTGTCGATGGTGCCTCCTCCCTACCCCGCAACACTCGCATACCACAACGCTCATGAGGATCATCCCAACGAAGCTCAGGACGACGCCCGCGAGCACCATCCACAACGCCGGTCCCCAGTTCGCGACATAGTTGAAGTCCGTCAAGGGTCCGATGCGCGACTTTCCGATGAGGATGAGCGCGAGGTCGACCCCGAAAACGACGAGGCCGACGATGAGCGTGAAGATGGTGGTGACGAGCGATACGATGCACAGGGCATGGGACTCGAGGAAGAGGGAGGTGAACATGCCGATGAACGCGAGCCCTGCGGCGACAAGGTGGAGGACGAGGAGCGCGGTGACACCTTTGCTGACGTCCTGAGTGATATCGGGCTCGCCGATGAGCGCGACCACCTCCGGGGGGATCGTATATCCGATCATGGGTCCGAAGCACTCGCCGCCGCCGGGCGGGTCGAGCGGGCTCATCGCGCAAAGGCCCCAAACGCCAAGGCGAAGCTGGTTCGCGACTGAGGTGACGGGTTGGTCCGGGTTCTGCGCGAAGGTGATCGTGAAGAGGTATATGCTCTTGATGATGGGGAGCGAGAGGCCAACGAGAAGGAAGAGGACGAACGAGGCGAGGAGAACGGCGCACGTTGCGAGCGAGATGCCTAGATGGCGCGCGAGCGGGCGTGGGTGTCGGCGCCGTTTGGTCCCATCCTGCGAGTCACTGTCGCGGCGGCGGAGGCAAAACAGGATGTTCGCCATCGCAGGGATGCTCGTAGTCCTGAAGAGCGGGGGCGTCGTCGAGCACGATGGGAGAGAACTCGCCAACGCTAGCGACCGCGAGATCCCCGCTTAAGCTTCTAGTTCTGCCGCACGTTCTTGGTGTCAGCAGGTCATTGGGCCATGCCGTCTCTTGATTTAGCTGCCTAATATGACTTCATGCATACTTTCGAAGACAGCGCGAGCACCGAGGGAGACCGTAGTGGTCGTGAGCAAACATTGCAGCGTGTCGCGGTGCACGACGTCGACGAGGCACAACGGCGACCGCAATTTGGGCGGCTAGCGCGCCAAGCCTACGCACGACCACTTGATTCCCGACTCCGAACTCGTCGAGCTCAACGTTTGGACTTGATGCCGACGCCGACGCATATCTGGTCTTCGAAGACGCGCGGCTTCTGAAGGCGTTCGGCTCCAGCGGCAATGCGGGGTCAATGTCGCTGACGACATTGAGCTAGACGTCCACTCCAGTGCCCACCGCGCGTGATACGACGGCCATCTCTTGGAACTACCACCACCATCTCTGCGCGTTTCGACTCTTTTAGGGGTCTTGCGACACCATGGTCAACTCGCTCACGCGCCAGGCGGGCTTCAAGCTCGGCCCTATCATCCTCGACGTGCTCATCAAGCATTACTTCGAACGCGTCTCGAAAGACAACGAGGAGAAGGACATGCCGAAGCTCCTGCAGGAGGAGCTGCTCTACGATGAGGCGTTCAACATTATCAAGGTGCGTCCGGGTCGGCTGAAGCCCCGGTTTACGATCTGACACCGCCTTAAGTCGTTTATGGAGGCTGCGACAAAGTGAGTGTGATATTAGCGAAATTGTGTGCCCTAATAGACGTACGAAGACATACAGTGGAGGAGTTGCAGGCGTTCTCGAATACGCGGACTCCGAGTCCTCCGTGGGTGCATGCAGTCCGACTGCTTGTTCCTATGTCATGCTGCGACGAAGCCGCGAAGTATTTGATCAAGGCCCTGGGCGGTGAAGAGTTCACCAAACGCGTTGTTGGTGGTACGAAGTGGTGGCAAGTCCGCGGCGTGAAGGGGTGTGTCCTGTTATACTTCTGCGTCGTTGATTTTCACTGAAATACAACACTCCTACAGCGTAGATGGTGAATGGATCGTGGCCAAGAAGGATTGGCAAGAAGCCAAACGGCGGCAGAAAGCACGAGAGTCGTCCACTGATGGCGGTCCGTCCCTGGATCAGCCTAGCCAAGAAACGCCCGCAACTTACGAACCGGAGATGGACGAAATGCGATGTATCTTGTATGCGCATGGAGGTGCGTGTGGGGGATCCCAACTGAGCACAGCGTCAGCTTACCTTTTATCCGTAGGCGGTTATTACTTCGGCAGCTTCGATCAGGAGAGGTGCGCCCGTGCGGTCTTATGGAAGTGGGCCTGAATTTTAATGCCGGGTCAGGTACTGCATACAACGGCTCGCACGAAAGATCAACGGGCGTGTTTTCGGTGAGCATATAGTCCAAATCCGGAGGTAGTTCGGCGATCTCAATGCGCATATAGCCGTCAACTACCGACTTGCTCCGCAGTATCCTTTCCCTTGTGCCATTCAGGACTTCATTGCTGCATGTAAGCTACGCTCTTCTTGATGTGGGGCAGGAGCTTCTGTACTGATAAGCCGTAGACTTGTACCTGATCAGACCGCCCCCTGGAGCCCTGCATACAGCCGTGTCGCCTTCCAACATTGTTGTAGGCGGGGATTCAGCTGGAGGCGGGCTGTGTATAGCCTTATTGCAGGTCATCCGAGATTCTGGGTTGCCCCCACCTGCTGGAGCCGTGCTCATCTCCCCGTGGTGTGACCTCACCCACTCTTTCCCGAGCATTCACCTCAACACTGCCACCGTGAGCTGCTCCGAATACGAAACGCATGCCGATATTGACACCTTCCGTAGGATATCATCCCGCAATACGGACTATCATTTCACAAACCAAGCACGCTCTGGCCACCGCCCCCGGACGAGCTGACGACCCAGGTCCGTCAAGGCTTGCGTTCGCGCATACGGGATGCCATCCGACACAAGCCCAAGGACGGTCAGAGCGTGAAGGAGCAAAGCGATATCATCGCAGCTGAGAAGCAGCCGTCCTCCCCCGAGGGCCTGCACCAACCTCGCTCCGCGACTCCCGACCACACCGTGACAATATCGGAGAACCATTCTAGGCGCTCATTGCATCTTGGGTCCGCGGTAGCCCTTCTGCTCCCGCTGGATGGCGGCGTGCGCAGCCAGCGGGTTTCGCTGAAGACATTAGCAGGGGAGACGCTCTCAATCGACGGGCAGATTCACATGTATGCACCAAACTTCCTGTTGACCCATCCGCTCGTAAGTCCTGTAGTGTCGTATCTGGGCGGACTGCCTCCTATGCTGGTGATTGCGAGCGACAAGGAGGTTCTGCGGGACGAGATCATCTACCTGTGAGTGACCTCCGTTACACCTGTGAGATAAAGGAGGACGCTAAGCTATCGCACAGAGCCCATAAAGCTGCTCATCCAGACAAATACCCTGTCAAGTCCGCGGCTAAGGACATATACCCTGCACTCAAGGGTATCGAAGAGCGCTACGGTCCGACAAAGATTCACCTGCAGAATTACGATGGTACGCTCCTTTTGCACACATCAAACGTACGGTAGCTTACCTTTCACAGATGCCGCGCACACCTTGCCTGTCCTTTTTGCGTTCACCACCCCTGGCAAGTTCTGCTTCCGCGCAATGGCTACATTCATCAAACACGTCAGTACTGGCAGGCAGCCCGCCCCGGCTGCAGATCTACCCACCGTCCTTGAGCACGGTGTCACTACCATGTCTCCGGTGACCTCGCGGAGCGATCTCTCCGGCCAAGTCGAAGAATGGGTCAGAATCCATTATTCGAATCCCGAGCTGGTATCGACCTTGGATGTTCCCCACTCGGAGCCCGCGCCGGAGACTGGGGACAGTAATGCAAACGGTGTCTCTGAATGCGTAGCCCCCGTCACTCAAGAGAACAGACTGTCGGTGAACGGTGCCCAGAGGCCATCGCACCCACCCGTTGCGGAGCAAAAGTCAGTACGGCGGGCGTTCAGCGCGAGAGTCTCGCGCGCCAGTGTGTTCCTACGCCGGAGTCACACTATTGCGTCGACTTCGGCCTCTGAGACAGGTCAGGTTAGGGAGTCTAGCGGCTCCTCGGACGTCGGTGGACCGCGTTTCCACGAGAAGTCGAAGGGCCCCGAGGGCGTGCGGTACGCGGGAGAGCCTTCTGTCTACGATAACGGCTTGGTGAGTAGTGTCCTTTCTTGCTGTTCAACGTCGAACTTGTGCTTACAGATGCTACAGGATACCATGATCCGCGAGCGTGTGTCGACGCGCGGGGTCATCCGCCCCCTCGAGCCCGAGGCAGAGCTGAGCGCTTTCATGCTGCCCCCGGAGCGTATCGGAGAGGTCTCCGAGCTCGCAGTCCGGCGATACATCGACGGCACCGCCAAGTTCGGCAAGAAGTTTGGCAAGACGACGAAGGCCGTGGAGAAGGCGCGCCGGCGGACGCTCGAGCGCGCGAAGCTGGACACGATGCGCAACATGGCGCAGCTGCAGACGTTCTTCAACGCGGACGGCGAACGCTCCACGCCCCCGCGCACATGGCAGGCCGAGGACGGCGAGGGCAGCTCCGCGCGTGCGGTGCGCAATGACACCGCGCAGGGCGTGAAGGAGGGCCTGGCTGCGTCGGGGAGCTGGGCGTGGGCTTGGGCGCTGGATGCGGACGAACACCCGCCGCCGAGCAGCATCGTTGCGCGGCGGGATACGGAGGAGGCGCGGCGGCTCGCGAAGATCGCCGACCAGGCCGTGTTGATGGACGACCAGGCCGTGAGCGGGAACAATCTGTGGTCGCTCATCGTCAACTTCCTCACCGTCACGCCCGAGCGGGATGCGCACAAGCATAAACATAAGCACGGACATGCGCACGGCAATGGCCATGTGGGGACACCACCGGTGGAAGCGAGCAAGAGCGACGGTAAGAAAGTGGACGCGGAAGGGGCGGGAGATGTCGCGGAGGATACGGAGAAGAAGTCGAAGAGGGAGAGGTTTGTTTCCAGGTTCGCGCGCCTCGTCACGGACCAGAGGAAATCCCGCGGAGCGAACGCCGCTGCAGCGAACGGCAAGGCGGAGCAATAACGCCAAGATGTGCATGAGGCTCCGGTGTCGTGTCTCATTACGATCCCCTTCCGAGTCGGATGGCAAGTTCTCTCGATTGTTTGTTGTATGTCTGGTACCTTGACGCATGTCATAGATATCTTAGAGCCCATTATAGTGTTCTGCGTAATGATATTACCTATGCCATAACTTGCCATGACTCGCCTGCAACGGCGGTATTCGGCCAGTACAGACCGCGCGTCGTCGGGACCCAAGCCTTGCCCGAGTAGAAACGAGTGCTCGAGGATTCGAGGATAGCAATCAACGCGCGAAGGTTCAACCTTCATCATGGAACGTGTATAGTGAACGACCCTAAGCATGCATTCTTACCGCGCTTGATGTTCAACGTTTATAAGGCGTCGCGCACAGGCCTACGAATGTTGATTGGGGATGTATTACGTCTCAATGAGATAGATATAGTATGAGATATCGACAGGATGAGATGGGAACAGGAGGGATGCGGGAGTAGCAGCAGAGTACAAACGTGTATGATACGGTAGAAACAAAGAAAACAGTCGTCATCAACTAAGCACGTCCTCGGGTGTCGACAGTGATGGGTAGATTCGAGAGGGACAATTTGGCGAGGACGCGGAAGCGGGGGGATGAACAACAGCAAGAGAACCGCATACGACGAGTGCTTGCGGACGCTCCGCCGGACGCCTTAAGCGACGGAGGCGGGCATGCTACGCGGCCTCTTGGATGCAGAGTCCGAAAACACATTTTCGGGTTGATCCTTGCGCTTAACCCCACTAGCCTTCTCCGAAGGGTCCTTATCTTCCTTATTCGGGTTGTAGTTCTCCGGGAGCTGGTCGTGCAGCCTGTCTCCTTCCAGTGGCCATGGCTTTTCGGGAGCAAGGATCTGGGCAAGCAGGAATTCCAGCATAGGTCTGTGGCTCTCGAGCCTCTTCGCGCGCGCCTCCAACGCTGCGCGGTCCTGCGGGGGCAATTGCTCGAGCGCTGTCTTCTTCGCCTGAGAGTCCTCGGCCACACGAAGCTGGAATTTCTCGAGGCGATCAGCGTCGTCATCATCGAGGGGTGTCTGCGTTGGCACTGCGGTCTGTTTCGTTTCCCGGAGGCTGGCAAGTCGATAGGATGCACTGAACCAGTCGAGTAATCCAGCGAACACCGCATCGATGGGGTGAAGGTCCTTTTCTGACCATTCGTAAGTGTCCGCTTCCGGAGGCGACCCTTTGCCCGGGCGAGAGGAGGAATCCCCTGACGTGGGTGGGTGAACAGAAAGGCCCTGAGTGGTTTGCTTCGGCAGAGGGCGACAGAAGAAATGCAACGGAGCGTTCGAGCTCGTGCGAAGCGTTGCGCCTTCCAGCGCTACCTGTTTCCTTGTGCCGCAGTAGTACTCCTTGCCGTTTTCGGTACACCCAGTGTCGAAGTACTCAAACATGAATGTGCCGACGTTGTCGGAGTTGTGGGGGAGCCATCGAATAGCGAACCAGAGCATGGAGTGGAAGAACGACTCGAGCTCATCTGGGATGGAGATAGGCTTGTGAGGATGATTCAAAGCGTTGACGGACATAAACTGCCAGGTCCCCTGTGGTGGTGTCAGCCGCCGATTCCGGATGCAATCGCTGTGGGACATACCGTTCGGTCAGGGTGACGAGGGCTTTCGCCTTCTTGCTCCACGCGCTTCGACAACTCCCAATCGGTGAGAAGCCCCCTATAGACGACCCGGCCACTCGGCAGCTTCGTCGGTAGCATGAGGAGATTACCAGAACTGATGTCTCGGTGAATTATCCCGGCCTTCAGGTAGGCGCTCTCATGAGCTGATTATCATGTCAGTGCAACGTTCAACAGGCACGGGATGCATGAATATGCTCACCTAGAACACAGTCATAGAAAATAGACACAAGTTGTTTGCCGTTCTCAAACCTGCGCAAAGGGATGCCAACCTCCTTCACTACAAGGCGGTAGTGCTTGTGATGTTTCATGCGACATGTTTCTTCTTCCTCATGCTTCGCCCTCCAGATATCCTGCGAGAACGTCTCTTGCTCGCCCACGTCGCCATCGCACAACCGACTTGGGATGCCCTGGACGCCACATTCGTTGAGATATGAGAGGATGGCGCCTTCCGTCTCCGATCTTTCGTGGAGCACTCGCCAGCAGTCCTTGAGAAACACGAAAGGATGATCCGGATTGTCCAGGTCAAGAGCCACATAGCCTCTGGTGCCCCTTCCGACAAGTCCAGAAGCGATGAAGGTAGGCCTTCCTACGAGAAAGACGCGAAGGCCGCTGGTGTCCTGAACTGTGATCCGCCACCAAGGCCAGTCTTTGGCGAGAGTTCCATTGAAGAGTTTCCGAGCGTAGTCGTTGGTGAGGCGAGGGGTTGAGGCACACTGCTCCATCAATGCGTAGTCGGGAGTCTTGGGGAGCACTCGAGTAGCGGTTGTGTCGTGGCCCCGTTGGACTGCTGAAAGACGTGAAAACCGCCAGAGGAACCTCGCCAGCTTGCCAGGCATTTTTCTGTAGTTGAACTTATCCGAAAATATCGCGCCGGCGCGATCCCATCGGATGATACGGGCGAACTCGCCGAAGACGATGATGGTGAAGTGGTGGGTACGATGTTGACGATCGAAGACAAGAACTCCGTAGGATAGAATCTGCCCGAGGACTGCCCTACGTTTGTCTGAAAATGGGTGGCCGTTCGGCATCGAGTCGTCGAATGGGTCATCCGTGTCGCCGGCCTTGCACTCAATGGAAAGTTCGATCGCGGACCAGTCTGTTCGGTTACTTGCCGTGGGTGCGGAGCCTGTGGGGTACATACCGCCATCGATCTTCTGTCTAGATTTGTCGGACGCGTCGGGGAGGGCTTCCGTAGCTACGACGGTGAAATCCTTCAGAATACCGGCATTGTTGATAGCATCGACCTTGATAGTAAAAAAAAAATGAAACTTGAACATCGAGCTGCATGGATGACTCGGAGAAGGCCAGACGTACCAAAGGACCATACATAGCAGCTTCCGTACTTTTGACAGGGACTTTATCGAACAGGCCAGAATACGATGCATCTTCAGGGTCCTCCCCGGGCACGAACAGGTCCAGAAACTCGTCGAAGCTGACCTTGACCAGTTTGTGCTGCATAGTTAAGCGAAGTTCGGCGCGAACGGTAGCAACGTAGGGGGCACGAGAAGCAGAGAAAGAGTTGATGATGGGGACGGTCTTGTGAGGCGTAGCCTGAATATTGGAGTCAGTCATCGCGTATTCGTGGAGATGCAAAGTGGCAGAGGAAGACAGTGAGATGAGCGAATACACACCGAGAGTCTGAGAGCCGACCCAGGATTTTATAAGTGTTGAACTTTAGCCACGGAGGCTGGTGCTATTGTGCGGCGGTTCAATTCCGATATGGGGGCAGGACAAAGGAGCAGGGCTCAAGTTCGTGTAACAAAGTGTGGCTGGGCACTGGGTGGCAGCTTTCCTGGCGCAACTGCGCAGATGGCTAGTCGAGGTAGTGGTTGAATGGCAAAGCAAGCGCCACGTCAGGCGCCGAGAACGCAGTTCTATCACGTTTGTTTTCCGCTTCTGGCCAATGATCGGCGTGCTGGCCGATTCTTCCAAGGCTCGCAGCTACGGGCTACAACCCGGACATATTATAAAATTCAATGTCAGCGGCAATCTTCATGCATGGCTAAACCGGGTACCTCCAACCTGAGCGACAGTTCTCTGAATAGCGGACAAAGCTCTTTACTTCAGTCGCGTGCTGACAGCCAAGGTCCGCGAGTCCCGTGGTTTCAGCCACCTGGAGAGGGTCTCTCGACCTGGGATGGATACTCAATATCAGGATGTACACGAATGCGGCCGCCAGCCTGAGTAACTTACGGTCAGAAAACCTGCCAGTGCAAGCCTTGCTTGAGGATTTGAATGCTTACAGGCTGCTAGATCCTTGAAAATGTATCGCGCTCCTTCCAAGAGTAATATCGCGACACCGAGACGTCCCTCGTACCAGCCTTGAGTCAGGGTAGGTCAGGGTACGATACCAGGGCGACCGTTCAATCGGCAGTACTATGCGTATTTACCAAGTTAGGAAGGCAGCGGCTTTAGATGCTAACAAAGCCAAACATTGAAACGCCACTAAACACCTTCGGAACTTCAAGAATTTCAAGTTGCTTGAACTTGCACTGGGGCGGGGCGGCGAAGGCAACCACTGAGCCTCAGGGTTATTACGAGTGCTGACCCAGATGGTTGCTGAGTGTTTGGGGTGCATCGTTGAAACAGGATGCATTCAGCACCCGCGCCATACCAGCAATGGCCGGTCACCGTATCGACCGTGTACTTGGCAGGATATTGTGCGAGTCAGATTGAAAGAAAGTTGCTGTTCAAAACGTCGCAATACCAATGCAAGTCATGTAGAGGATTTGGTACTACTTACCTGATGCCGAGAATGGAGCCCACGGGGTATGCCAGATGTTGGTACACACAATACAAGTGCGGCGCTCCGTAGTCTATGGTAAGGCCGATACTACGTGTACATTGCGCTCTGTCGCTACCTGTTCTACTACACTCCTTCCTCGTCCAACACGGGCTACGGCTGTCCACCCCATCGCACGTCTACGATTTCCACATCGTCGCCCTCTGGCACCTGTTCCAACTCCGCCGTGCCACCACCGGCCGGCGCCCTTGCCAGCTACACCATACTGCGCCTGTGAAGCACCTTCACGCGCGGCACGCGAACCAGACCGCACTAAATAAGGATGAGCGTACTGCGTGGCTTCTTGGGTGCGGAATCCAAAGATACCTCATGTAGGGCCCGTCACCCGCTTGTCCTCAGCGCCCTTAGTTCTTCGGGTTGAATTTCCTCGAGAGCTGGTCGGGCTGCCTGTCCCCTTGTGGCCACACGTCAGGAGCGAAGGCTCGGGCATAAAGGAACTTCAACATCGCTTTGTGGGTCTCGAGCTTCTTTGCGCGCTCCTCCAGCCCCGCACGGGTCTGCTGCAGTGTGGGATCACTGAGCGCCACGCCCAATGGCTGAGAGTCCTCCGCGAGAAGAAGCTGGAATCTCTTGAAGCGTGCAGCGTCAAGCCCTTCGAGGGGCTGCTGCGTTGGCACTGGGGTCGATCTCAGTTTCCGGTGGTTGGCGAGACGGTAGGCTGCCTGAAACCAGTCGAGTAGCTCAGCGAACACGTCATCGATGGGATGAAGGTCTGCTTCGGACCATTCGGGAGCTTTCACTGCAGAGGTCGACGGTTCGCTCGAGTCGGAGGGATCGCCTGACGTGAGTAGCTGAGCAGAAGGTCCTTGGGGGCCTTTCTTCGACAAGGGGCGACGGAAGAAATGCAACGAAGCATTCGTGGGCGTGATGAGATGTGCGCTGTTCATCGTGCTCTGCTTGACCGTGCCGCAAGTGTATTCCTTGCCGTTTTCGGTACGTCCGGTGTCGAAGTACTCGAACATGAACTTGTCGACATCGTTGCAGTTGTGAGGGAGCCACCGGATAGCGAACCAAAGCAGGGCATGGAAAAACGACTCGAGTTCGTCTGGAATTGAGATCTCCTTGTCGGGATTGTTCAACGCGTTGACGGACATGAACTGCCAAGTTCCCTGAAGACATGTGAGCAGGTAATCTTCGAGTGCAGAAACGACGGGACACACCGCTCGGCCGGAGAGGCGGGGGGCTTCGCCATCATACTCGATGCGCTTCGACAATTCCCAATCGGTAAGGAGCCCCCTGTAGACGGCCTTTCCATCGGCACCCGGAAGCTTCGTCGGTAACATGAGGAAGTTGCCAGAGCTGATGTCTCGGTGGATTACACCGGCTTTCAGATAGGCGGACTTATGAGCTGAATGCCGTGTTAGTGCAACGTTCGATAGGCATCCGGCACATCAACATACTCACCTTCGAGACAGTCGATGAACATGAACACCAGCTGTCGACCAGTCTCAAACTTGTACAGGGGAATGCCAACCTCCTTCACGGCAAGCCGGTAGTGCCTGTGATGCTTCATGCGGCATTCTTCTCCCACGTGTTTTGCCTTCCAGACGTCTTGCGAGACGGTCTCTTGCTCACCAACGTCGCCATCGCACAGCCGACTTGGAATGCCCTCCACGTCGCACTCGTTGAGGTACGAGAGGATGGCACCTTCTGTCTCCGATCGCTCATGGAGGACCCGCCAGCAGTCCTTGAGGAAAACGATGGGATGATCCGGATTGCACAGGTCAAGAGCGATGTAGCCTCTTGTGCCCCTGCCGACGAGTCCACATGCGACGAACGTAGGGCGTCCTACCAGAAAATCGCGAGGGCCGCCAGCGTCCTCCACCGTGATTCTCCACCAAGGCCATTCGTGGGCGAGAGACTCTTGGAAGAGTACGCGTGCATAGTCCCCAATGCCGGGGCGGGGAGTTGAGGCGCAAGCTATCATGAAATCGTGGTCGGGGCTTCCAGGAAAGACCTGGGTTGCAGTTGGATCGTGTCCCCTTTGTGTGGCTGAAAGACGCGAGAACCGCCAGAGGAACCTCGCGAGCTTCGCAGGCTCGTCCGTGTAGTCGAACTTCTCCGAAAAGATAGCGCCAGCACGATCCAGCCGGACGACGCGGGCCAAGGTACCGAAGGTGACGATGGTGTAGTGGTGGGTACGATGCTGACGATCGAAGACGAGAGTTCCGTGTGATAGGATTTGCTCGAGACATGGTATGCGTTCGTTTGATGGTGGTTGCTCGTCGTTTGCGTTGTCGTCAACTTTGCATAAGAACGACAGTTCTAACGTTGACCAGTCTGCTGATTTGTTGCGGGTAGTGGTGCACTCGTTCGTAGCATACATGCCACCGTCGATGGTCAGTTCAGTGTCGCCAGATGCGCTGTGGAGGGTTAAGATGTATCCCTGCAAAATATCACTCTTATTAATGACGTCGACCTTCAAACAAGTCTCAAATATTAGCGGGGTCCACTAGCAGAAGGACGATGAGCGTACCAGGGCGCCATACAAATTAGCTTCCTTTCCCTCGACCTGCGGAATGTCGTTGAATAGCTTTGCGAACGATGCATTACCAGGGTCCTCCCCGGGCAAAAACAAGTCTAGCATGTCATCGAAGCAGACCTCCACTGATTCTTCCAACATGATGGATCGAAAATAAGCACGGAAAATAGCGACTCAGAGTGAATGAGAGGAGGAGAACGGCTCGGGAAGGTTGAGGTGTAGGATCAAAAGGGCCGAACAAAGAGACGCCCTTGTGGCTAGGTCGATCCCGATTGTTCATCTGGTGGCTAGCTGGCGTACCTCGACGTCAGCGTACAGCGTGAAGTGTACCGCGCCGAGGACACGCATTGAAACACAACGTGAAGGTATGTAGCCCACGAGAACATGCCTCACCGATACTACCATCTCGCACATTCTTGAATAACTCCCATCACGCACGCACGACTTGCAGATATTACTTCCGGGATCCAACGATCCCAATTCCTCTGTCCGTCCGAGCGGTACTATATACGTATCACGACTAGGCAACTTCAGTACAAGGGTATAGGGGTAGCTGAGCAAGACGTACCAAAAACACCGGGTAGGGATGGAGATGCGTACCGCGCACGTTATGGCACGACCAACACGTATGCATCGTGCCCTTTCACTACCTGCACCTCTACTCCTTCCTCGTCCAACATCCGTTGCGGCCGTCCATCCCATCGCACATCCACGATCTCGACATCGTCTCCCTCCGCTTGTTCACCCTCTGCCGCGCCGCTGCCAGCCGACGCCCCTGCCAGCTGCACCGCGCTGCGTCTATCAAGGACCTTGACGCGAGGCACGCGAACCATGCCGCACTGAACGGGGATGAGGTTCCACGTGAGCGCATCCTCTTGCCCAGGCAGAAGCACGGGCATGCGGCCGTGGCGGAGCCCCGCAATGACGAACGCATCCATAGCGTCTGGTTCGATTTGCACTGTCGGGGTTGCGGTGCGCGTCGGATGCCGATTCCGGACAGTCAATCGGAGTGGGATCGGGACGTGCAGCCGCGCGGTCGTTGGCGCGTCGAGGAGCGCGATGAGGCCATCCGACGGCGGGAGGAGCTGCGGGAGCGGGAAACGTGTGGTTGAGAGCGAGCCATGGCTGCCGTCGTGAAGAAGCCTGTACGTCGATGGATCAATACACGCCAATAAATAAATGAGAGACAACGTACCTTCTCCATGTTATCTCGTACTCGCCAGGTCCAGGGATCGATGCATCCGGATGCTCCGAATCAGGAATGACGCTGATACGACATTTGTCATCGAACTTATCCCCAGCAAGCCATTCTGTGTCTCATCAGCATCGAGTCAGCATACGATGCAGGATTCACTTACCGCCGCTGAAGTCATCCTGGTCTACCGAGCAGTCCATCACCTCGGCGACCTCGGTGTTCTGCGACGACGTTCAGGGTGAGGTAACATCAATTTGAGTGGAGCACGTACCTTTCGATGCAAAACCACGCTTTCAACGACAAGGCCCGACGTCGCCACGACTGATACGATACTCGTAACTATCGCCTTCACTGCCACCGCTTCGTCCTTATGGCTACCTTCGAACGTCATCAAGTCCGCAAGGCCCGGCTGAGGCTTTGTCGGCCGCCTGTACGTCACCGTATGCTCGACCTCGACGGGCAGCACCGTCGGAACGGCTAGTGTGCGCAGGGTCTCGCTCCGATCAACAAGCGACGGAGCAGTCGCGCTCGCGGGAGTTGTGGGAGAGACAGGCGATGTAGGCGGCTGCGCGGTCGAGTGCGACTGCACTGAGATGTCGATGACACGCTCACCAGGGGCGCCCGTGTTCGCGAGGCAGAGCTTCTTCAGTACGCTCACCCCTGGCGCGAGGACACCGCACGCGACCGCCTTGAGCAAGCTTGTAGAGCGCTGGTCATCCATCGCGACATGATTAACTGCAAAGAACACGGAGTTAGTCTCGACGAGCCAGAGTATGAGAGTAGGAATGGCACCTACCTGCTTCGTCGATCTCCGTGGGCTGTAGGAGCACGTCGAGGACGACTTCCAGTTCCCGGTCATCCTGGTTCGTGATGTTGATCTCGATCGGGAACTCTTCCCCGATGTACGCAGGCCCCTCATGCGAGATCGCGACCTCCACTTGGTGAGGACGATGGCGAACCCGTACTGAAGAATGATCCTCGCGGCGTATGGGTATGAAGCGCGGAGGCTCAACCGAGCACAACCAGCGAGGAGCTACCAGTGCATTCTCGAGCCGCGTGGTCTCCGGAACGATAGGTACCTCGATCCACCAGGAGTTGACCTTAATGGTAAAGACTAGTTTGGTGACCTGGCGGTGTATGTGAGCGGCGCCATTCAGAGCTCTCATAGGGCACACATACCAAGATGTGCATTGGCAAAGCCGACGAGACACTTCCTGTAAACACGATCGTTGACCCGGCTCCCCACTGCAGCTCAGCCTCGATCTCGACAGGTTCTGTGGGTGCAGGAGCAACGACGACCTCGCCCAAGTCGAACCGTTGTACGGTAGGCACATCGACATCGGGATCGGGCTGGTGATGCTTGATGATTAGCGGAGGTGCATGCGTGCCGAAGTGGATGGCGAGCTGAGTGAACGGTATAGACGACAGGGACACGTCGGGCTGGGAGGAGAGGAGTATCTGGAACCGGGCCTGCTCGCCGACATCAATCTCGTGGTCCCAGAAGACCACCGATGCATCCACTGCACAAATTTGAATGAGCGTAACGCATTGGCGCGGGTAACGATGACTCACAAATTGACTTAGACTCGGAAAGATCGACTACGAGGGGTTCCTCCGTGATAGATGGCACCGTACTCTGTTCTTTGTGAGACATAGCAATGAGCCGGATGAGCATGTTCTGCTCACCTGAAGTACCGCAAGGAGGTCGTCCTGTAATACATCTGGATCATCCGCTGAAGCGGTTGCACCTTCATAAACGCTTGATCAATACCTTGACACTCAACAACCATGTTTCTGGCGCACCGTAAGCGAGCATCTCGATCAACAGCTTAACGCTAAGCTCCATATCGCCCAGCTGTTGAGCGCATGCATACCATTGAGAGAGCAACGGGTGCAGCAATGATTCCCAGCTCTCCCTTCGATATGTCTTCGCGATGCGCTCGAAGAATCTACACATTAATTAGCGTCAGTATGATGCTCATGGCGGCGACCATTGAGCGTACCTGACGGCCATGTCAAACTTGCCCGAGTCGTAGTACGTTTGAGCGATGCGGTACGCTATCCACAGCGTCAGACGTCCCGGATTCTGCGAGTTCTGCGGGCTCCATTTCTTGAATAGCTCATACGCGCGGGTATAGAGCTGAAGACAAGTTTAATCAGGTGTATACCGCAACCACGAGCTGAAGGCTACCCACCTCCAAGACGATGGCCAGATGGTCAACCTTCCTCTCATTCGCGAAACCGGGCGAGTTGGTCTGCTGGCCTTCTACCTGCACGACGCGTCAGGACGCCAACATCATAACAGCGGGCATCTTTATCACCTCCGTCTCGAGCACCGCCAGGAACCGCTCGCGCCGCCGCTCCGTACACCGCGCTGCCATATAGTAGTAGAAACCGGGGTGTTGGAGCGCCTGGTTGGGGTTCAGGCCGAGCACGCGCATCGCCTCCAGGCCGATCTGCGAGGCTTCGAGAGACTGCGCCGCGAGGACGGCAGCAGATGGCGTCGGGGTCGGATACGCAGTCGGGATCTTGAGGCTAGAACGTGTGCCCTGTTCAAGAAGTTCTGCAAACACGCGATGTCTATACGCGTCGTCAGCCCTCTGTCCGAATCAAGGCTTGAGGCGGGCTTACTGCCGTGCAAGCCAGCTCCAGAACTCAAACGTCTCCTCTCCGATACCCCAGCCGCGTGAGAAGTCGGCGAACTTGCGCATGTGGCTGTTTTGGTGTGACAATGCGAGAGAATGTTCGTTGTTGTATAGGTAGAGCTTTACGATCTATAAGGAGATGGGACGTCAGCTGTGAGTGTACGCTTACAGTAGGGAAATTTCATCGTACCTTAACATTAATGCAGTCTGCGAGCACCTTCGCCTCGGCCCAGCGCTTGGTGCGAGGAGGAAGGATTGCAGTAGAGCCGAACATGATAATGAGCGTTGAATACGCATCCTGGTAATGCCTGGATGCCGGTTGTTCATATATTGGCACTACTTGAGACTGCACTTGACGTACTTGAGCGCAACCTGGTCCTCTCCTCGGAATTCGGCGAAACACGCCATCTTATACTCGTACCTAACTGTCCATCCTTCCGGGCGAAGCGGTCGTGCAATACCTGCACTAGCCATCGGAGAGAGAGGCAGCTGGTATGAAGTGGCCTGCGAATGCCGATTCCGTTTCCGCCTCACGCGTTTCGAGTGATTGGTGTAATATTCCAGTGCGGGCTCCCATAGCGCATCTTGCAAGCTACTCTCCAGTATTTTACGAGCTGTTCAAAGGTTAAGATGGTATGGCGTACCTGCGCACGAAGTCCCCGATCTCCGTAGGTGAAACTGGACTCAGTACGAAGAGCGCCGCGCGGGGGTCCAGTCCACTCTGTCTCCGAATGTACGTGAGCCGTCCGTCCAAAGTAGGGTCATCTAGCGTTTTGTTAGTCATATGCTACCACTTACCCATACTCATTAACCTACCTAGCATCCTACGGCTGGCCATTAGCACGACGGTGAGCTTCAATCCGCGCTCATTCGTGGTCTTCTTCCGCTGCGCGATCTCAGCCGAGAGTTCAGTGTCCCGCCGCTTCTCTTCGACTTCGCGGTCGCGTTCTGTTTGTCCTGGTTGAAGCGGTGGTGACTCGTAGATGCGCGTGAACATCACAAACACCGAAGGTACGAGGGTCGTGTGCTTGCGGATCCATATAGGCGCAATGACACCGTCCGGGTATAGGGGGGATGTTGGGGTCAAAGGGGAGAGGGGGGAATGTGATGCGCTATATTGCGGGTCATCTGGACGGAGCATTTTGCGCGGCGGGAACGGGACGTCCTACGATGTTGTCACATACTGCTCTCAACCAGCAATTTGCGGGCGCACCTTATCCACAAGAACAACCTGGAACGTCTTGGACTTCTCCGGCTGCCAGATAGCAACTTTCCGCTGAGATACGAGCGCGTCTCTCAGCCTCATGCAGAGAAGCTGGAAAGCGTCTGGTCGGGGCGGTTGTTGAGTCGAGGGAGTCGAGGGAGTCGGAGGGGCGTTCGTCGGGGATTGCGGAGCCTGAGCATCCAGACCAGCCACGAACATGACTGGTGCTAGCTGCACAAGCAGTTCCGGAGGATACGAGTTCATCCTGAGGTGGTATTAAGGTTATGAGCGTGCTCTGGCTGGTGTAACTGTGTCGGTACCTGAAGATAGTCTATGTCTTCCAGAGTGTCTCTTGCTCACTGGTTGCTAGCACAATCAAACGTCAGGTTGCCGATGCAAGAGGGAAGTGCGGCAAAGCATTCATAGAGAAAGCAGGGTGCAAGATACAAGAGGTTTCAAGGAACAAGCTCAAGCTTCACGGTACGTTCGATCATTGTCTGATGGCTTCTGATATATACACATACGAGTTATTGTGAGCAAGTCCCTCTTAGCTCAGTTGGTAGAGCGCGTCACTAGTATTGTCACCTGATCGACGAGGTTAATGACGAGGTCAGTCGTTCAAATCGGCTAGCGGGAATTTTTTGCCTGCTTCTGGATTACCGTCCACTATTTGTGCACCGTCCTACCCTGGTCCATAGGGCTGTCTTTTTGACATGGTACTTCCATATCTCGCTCGGTAGTACCATATGTGCGCCATATATATTTACATCTCAATATTTGGATAGGCATCAATGACCTCTAGCATATGTACTCAAACCTGGCATACCGGCGTGGGCTCCTGCGCTTTCCGAGTTAAATTCGAAGCTAAGTCGTGTATTCTTGGCTCACGGACATCCAACAAGTTCAGCTGTTTGTGTCCTGCGCACGACTAGTACGAGTATGGAGTCGGATAAGGCATTCGAATGTATTCATCTCGTGAATGTCAAGTTACGATGCAAACACCCGCGACCCCGTCCCAACAGGGCTGATTATGCCCGCATCTTGCAGCGCGGCAAACAGGTTGAACAACATCAGGTCCTGAAAAGCGACCGAACTTAGCTTCAGGCCTTCGCATTACTCAAAATGTGACTTACGCATCCCTTGGCGGTGACAAAGCTCAGAGTGACTGGTAGGAACTCGGTCTTTCCTGTGATGGTAGAGTTAAAAGGTGCTTCACCGACTACGTGAAAGCAACTTGTAAGCAAGCAGTAACAACTCGAGTGTCATGACTATCGCTCACTTGGCACGACCATATCCGGGGTCTCGGCGTGAACGGAAAGCCGCCCAGAGGAAAAGCCGATAGGCGCAGTAGGAGAGCTACATTGACAGCGCGTCAACAAACAGGTCGAAACACGAAACCACCTTCAGACTAACCTGATGTACCGGTTCCGGTAGTTCGTGTTGCCCGAACTCTGCGGGTAGAGCAAGATGGAGTCTGCGCAGGTGTCCGGGTCGCCGGCTTTGAGGACCTCGTCCGCGACCCAATCCATGAAGATGGTCTTGTTCGTCAACGCCTCCTCCTTGCGCCCAGCAGGCAAGGCGCGGCCGTAGTTCCATCGTGCAAGCGGCGCGGGGTTGATGAAGGGCATGCGTCCGCCATTCGCCGCACCGAAGTCCGCAATGAACGGGTCGGCGACGAGGGCAATCTGGTCGAGCGTGATGATGTCCGCGTATGTGGTTGACAGCAACGTCTGTAGCGTCGGCGCGGTGGCGTTGGCGGGCTTAGTCGTGTTCCACAGGCCGGCGAACGAGACCTCGGTGCGCGTCGTGTTCAGGAAGTGCTCGAGCTTGCCGATGAACGTGTTGAACGTCGCGGCCGCCGTCCCTGCAGCGGGAGGCGTGCTAAGGAAGCTGCTGCCAAAGAAATCCACGGGGAAGATGACCTTCTTCGGGAACTTCGAGAACTGTGAGAACGCGTCAGTATCTCGTTCCACGATGTCACCGCAGTCTGCTCACCGAAGTGAAGTTCTGGTACCACCAGTGTCCTGCGGTAGCCCAGAGCTTCGCATCCCTGGCGAAGATGCCTGCCGTATCCAACTCCGGCGACAGCGGCATCACATCGTCCAAGGCAACAGCCCCGTGCGAGGGCCGATTGCCAAAGACACCGTTCGCGCCTGCCGGGCCTCGCATGGATCCACCGGTGTCGCTCCCGACCGCAAAGTCCAACCACGGGTACGCTGCGGTAGCCGTTCCGGGTCCTGTCGACGAGCTGCTCCCGTCCTGGTACCCGTCGCCACGGGGGTTGTACGGGGCATGAAGGTCGACCCAGTCGTCCGTCGCAGTCTCACCATTGGCGAACTGCGATGTCTTCGCCTTGCCGACAAGCACCATCCCGCCGTCGAGGAGGCGCTGGATGGCGGGCGCGGTGCGCTCCTTAGCCGGGTACAGCTGCCAGAAGGCGCGGTTGCCGCAGCCAGTCTGGAGGCCCTTGATGTCGTAGATGTCCTTCACCGCGAGGCGGAACCCGGCGAGAGGCTTCTCGGGGGTGGGCGTAAAGTACAGACGCGAGGGCACGCCGATGGTCTCTGTGGACGCTCCAGGGACGCGCGCAGACAGGATGTCGAAGCTGTCTTTGCCGTTCGGGATCGTTCCATACAGGAACGATTGGTTCTCGTCGTTGTACAAACGGTAGGCTGCATATATAGTCAGCTTCCGCAACGTGAACCCTGCAGTCAGATGAGCTCTGACCTTCGAAAATGTTCCCGGTTGCGGTTTCCAGGAAGTACGGGCCAGACGGCAGTGGGGTCTTCAAACTGACACCCCCAAGGAAGCTTTTAGATCGCAGCACGAAGTCGATTCCGAACTTCTTTTGGGCGCTCCCAAGCGACGCCACCGGAATGCCGCGTGTGCCGTTGAAGCTGAGGTAGACACCTTGCGGCACAGAGTCAATGCAAATAAAACGGCTATTGAAACCAGGGGCGTACCAGTGAGGAAAGCCTCGCTCCACACATCGTCCTTAGCAGACCACTGGGCTATGGTCGCCTCCAGAGCGTTTTGGTCGAACACCGTCTTCGAGGTGGGGATCACGGAGAACGGGATCAAGTCCCCGGACGCAGGCTTCACGAGGAATGCCGCATTGGGAAGCGACGAGACTGGCGAAGGAGGGACGAAGTACGAGACGTTCCCCAAGGTGAGCGTCCTCCCGGTATGCTGAACGCTGACCTGTACCGCTGCGACGCGGACGGTGGCGAGGCTAAACAGGAACCCGAAGACAGCGTTGAGGTGCATCCTTGAAGACGAACGCCTAGGCAAGGACGTGCCGTCCATGTCGACGCCCACCGCCTCCTTATAACCCACCCACCACCGCCGAACGGCATTGACGGACTTGGTGCCGAGGTCTTGAACCTGTGGCTGTTATCGATCCTACGGCATAACGGTCTCGAGGTTCGTCCTTCGTGCCTTCCTTGACTCCTGGACGTACACTCACCAATGCTGAGTGGCTGCTACAGTTCAAATTCGGAGACCGATGGAGATAAGGCCGCAAAGCCTGAGTAAGTCCGGCCTTATCGCGTATCGACCATGAGGACTGCTGCGATACGTCGAACGCGTCCACCGGCACGACGGACCTCTGCGACCGCGTTTGGCAACGTGACCGTGTACAGTCTCGTAAATAGGCCTGACTGAGTAATACTGTCTGTAGGTCCAGGTCCTGCAACACAAGCATTCGCTATTAAAATTCTGAGGGTAGCGAGTACCTCCCTCACCGCAGTGTGGGGTTCCTCGATAGGCTCAATAATCCACGGTGGCGAGATGTATGTCGGAAAGGCTTCCGATGGGGACGGCCCCCCCTGTACCACTGCCCAGAAAGCAATGATACGTACGCTGACTAGCGATCGAGCGGACAGTCTGGAGGTTATCTTTGAGTTGAGATAGGGCGCGAAGTCTCGACATGTAATAAGCATAAAGAATTAGGCGTACCGGCAGTTCCTGGGTCGCGGCAGGTTCTCCGGGGTACACGACAGGGGCAGTAGGCTGGGCAAAGAGGCGGTGACTCCTCGGACTTGACTCCGATATCCCCACAGAATTGACGCCCAATACCAATGCCGTATGTTTCGCGATTTCCTGCTCTCATACACAAAGGCCTATTGAAGACGTCAGTACGCGCAACGATACATGTGGATAACACGAGGCCGTACACATACGCTGCAGGCTACACGCCGATATCTAGCCAAAGCCTTTTGTTTCTTCGAGCAGTAGAAAATGGCGCAGTGCGAGGACGAACCTGGAACTCACCAACCCGTCTTGAAACCCTCTCGTCCTCTCTATAAATCAAGCACATACGAGGCATCTAAAATGATGGGTCTTTCCGAAATTATGAAGGCCGCCTTTGATTATGTGTTCGGCCTGCAACTCAAGACGCGTGAGTGGCATCGCTTTGTTCATATATTTGGCGCTGATGAGGCACGCTCAGAACCGCTTCAGGAAGACCATAGCGGGCACACGCCCACCCTGGGCGGCACGTCGCACGCTTTCGATGAGGAGTGGGAGACGTTCGCGTTGCCGCACCCATTCTTCTCGCTCACGGGTCAAGTCCCGACGCACATCATTTCGACATGGCGATGAGTCGAAGGGAGGGCATGGCAGAAGCTCGGGGCTCCGCATTCTTGTATATCTTCCTTGTTGTCAGATATGTTGTACGAACGCGAATGGAGAGCAGACTTACCGGCTGTGTACACAAAACTTGAACCTGAACGTAAACACCGGTTGTGCCTTGTTCTACTCTCCCAACCGCGATCGCGTCTCAAGATAGCATGTTCTCGTCCACAATTCGCTGCTCAGCAGCACGAGCAGAGAGCGAGCGGCGATGAATGAAAAATACAACAATGACATGGTGGTTGCGAGCAAGGAAGGACAAACGCCAAAGTAGATGTGCGTCTGCAAAACCCCCACACGTGGCCCCGCACTTTCTTCCGGATTTGGCACTCCCTTTCAAGTGGTCCCGCTAGGCTTAGCCGTCGTTGCTTGAGTTCCCTTCCCATCGCTTAAATACAAGGTAACGGACGAGAAGAGAGCTCTGGAATTGATAAAAGGCCTGGAAAGCGGACTGAGGATCCTCGTTCGTTGACCGACCTCTCTGTAGCCTCTCCCTGCTCTCAACGCCCGGCACTGTACCCTTACCATCCACGTCCATCCATATACCTCTCTCACCACGATACCAACCGACACCGATCTTATCACGCAAGTCATGATGTACGCACGCGCCATCCAGACCCTCACGCTCGTCTTTGCCGTCTCCTTCACTCTCGGTACGTCTCCGACGCACACGCATCTACTTGAGCAAGTCGTGCTCACCGGGAGTCTCGCAGTCTCCGCATCACCCGCGCCCATAGACCCCCAACAAGCAAATGTCATCGCCCAGAACAACAACATCGCATGTTCGGGCCCTGAGGGGTGCGCGGGGGTGCGTTGTTGTGCATCCTCTTCAGCCAAACATGAGACTGACCATCTTGACAGATCAACGGCACCATTGACGCGGCGTCCAACTCCGGAGCCTTGCCGGCTCTAGGATCGGCCTCCCAAGTTGTGGCGTTCAGCGCCGCGGCCGTGGGAGGTCTCTCGGCCCTCGGTCTCCTATAGTGAGCCTTGGACGGGACCAGCCTCTCCTGCCGGAGCAGGAAAACTATCTGTGATTGTCCATAGGGACTGCAGCTCGGACTGCCATTCGTTTAGCATATGTATTATTGGTAATTATGGAAGACTCGTAGATCTCACCTCGATATCCAGACATCATGTTGCTGCAAGCTACGAGAAGGAGCCATGTTGACAGTTTGAAAGCTCCTGACAGAGTTTCGCTTCAGATGCTGCTGCGCAAGATGCAGGTCGCAGTTTTCTATCCGGATATCTCGATAGAGTACCCGTCGAGATGTTCCTGGCGCTTTCGCGGGACGTACACCTGCTTCGAATCCATCTGCCGCCATCTGCTCGTTCGTGACGATAGCCGTTCTAGTGGACCGGGCAAGGCACCGGGGAAGTCGGAGGGCGATTATGGTTCGGATATCGAGAAAGTGTTGGCGTCATCGGCAGCATAAATTTGGAGCGGACAGATTAGAGAACAAGTATGCACATGAGAGAGATGCTGGTGGGCACTGTTAAACAAACAAGAAATCAGCAGCTGAATCGATCGGAAGGCCGCCGAGTCCCGCCGCCTCACCGAGTAGCACCGAGTAGGATGTGACTCGATCGTCACTCAGATCGGCCGTCGTTCCTTCCAGACAGTAACCTGCTACCAAGTACCTACCGCTCGTCGCCAACATAGCCAGAAACGTGAGTGTTTTGAGCATGACGGTGGAGGTCAAAGAGGCAGAAAGTTCATGCAAACGCCCATCCGCAGCATGTCCGCGTACGGCGCCATCTCCTCCCGCTCAACCTCCTCTCTTCCCTCCACAACATGGAAACTCGCCTCCAAACGCTCAGGTGCTCCCAAGCACCTCACTCTGCACCATGTCACCCTCGAAACCGCGCGAGCGCTCCCGGGGCTCGTCGACTACCTCCACCGTACGTTCGCGGATGAGCTCGCGGGCGGCCGCACCTATCCACAAGAGATTCTGCCCGGCGAAGTATACACACGCGAGCAATTCGACGCGTACTACTTCGCCGCAGACGTCCTCGTCGCGGTACTCGGACAGCCTACTTCCGAGAGCGCAGCCGACGCGCCGGACGGGAGCATCGTCTCGATCGGGTTCGCAGAGGCCGTGAGCGGCCGCGCTTGGGAAGAGTGCCTCGCCGGCTGCTACTACGTGAGTGCACTCCCGAAGAAGGGCGTTCACCGCGCGGGGGCTCGAGAGTAATAGACGCATCGAGCGCCGCCTGGGTGCGTCCTGATGAGTCGATGATCATTATCGCTGACCGCTTCCTCACCATGCAGGTGAAGCCGAATTACCCGGGACGGTCGTCGCATGTGAGTAATGGCCAAGTTGCGCTTCCGGCTGTCCTCGATTGTGCTTCTTCTCTCCTCGGCGATGAACGCGATCGGTAGTCCCGTCCCTGCGCTGTTGCGCTGAGACTGAACGCCGTTATGCCGAGATGGAAGCTCTGGGATTGAACGGCATCCTCAGAACTGGTAGCGCTATGCTTGCGAATACCTGCATGCGTTGCTCTGCTGTAATGGTCTGGAGACCTCCTCTACCAGGGCTCTTTCGTGGACGTCTGCCGCGTCCCATCTGATGCGAAGGGCCGCCGGGCTTCCCTGGACCGTTCCCCCGTCCCACAATGCTGCTGTTCGCGAGGAGGGCGGCTCGGAGCCGGGGCGCGGGCGGGCGGGTGCCTGGCCGGGGGAGAGGCTGGAGAAGTAATTCGTAAGTATGTGTGGGTCGTGGGCTATAGGTTGCAGGTTGTAGGTCGTGGGCTATAGGTTGCAGGTTGTAGGTCGTGGGCTATAGGTTGCAGGTTGTAGGTCGTGGGCTGTGGGTTGCGGGTCGTAGGTCGTGGGCTGCAGGTTATGGGTTGTAGATCGTGGGCCATAGGTTGCGGGTTGTAGGTCGTGGGCTGTGGGTTGCGGGTCGTAGGTCGTGGGCTGCAGGTTATGGGTTGTAGATCG